GAATAGTAGTGGTGAGAGTGGGCACCCTTGTCTTGTTCCTGATTTCAGGGGAAATGCTTTCAATTTTTCACCATTGAGGGTGATGCTTGCTGTGAGTTTGTCATATATAGCTTTTATTATGTTGAGGTATGTTCCTTCTATTCCTGCTTTCTGGATTGTTTTAATCATAAATGGATGTTGAATTTTGTCAAAGGCTTTCTCTGCATCTATTGAGATAATCATATGGTTTTTATTTTTCAATTTGTTAATGTAGTGTATTAAACTGATTGATTTGCAGATACTGAAGAATCCTTGCATCCCTGGGATAAAGCCGACTTGGTCATGATGTATGATCTTTTTAATATGTTGTTGGATTCTGTTTGTTAGAATTTTGTTAAGGATTTTTGCATCTATGTTCATCAGTAATATTAGCCTGTAGTTTTCTTTTTTTGTGGCATCTTTGTCAGGTTTTGGTATTAGGGTGATGGTGGCCTCGTAGAATGAGTTTGGAAGTTTACCTTCTTCTGCAATTTTCTGGAAGAGTTTGAGTAGGATAGGTGTTAGTTCTTCTCTAAATTTTTGGTAGAATTCAGCTGTGAAGTCGTCTGGTCCTGGGCTTCTGTTTGTTGGAAGATTCCTGATTATGGTTTCAATTTCCATGCTTGTGATGGGTCTGTTAAGATTTTCTATTTCTTCCTGGTTCAATTTTGGAAAGTTGTACTTTTCTAAAAATTTGTCCATTTCCTCCAAGTTGTCCATTTTATTTGCATATAGTTGTTGATAATACTCTCTTATGATCCTTTGTATTTCTGTGTTGTCTGTTGTGGGCGCCTCACTTTTAAAAAGGAGCAGACTGGCCGGGCCAATGGCAGCGCTGGTGTGCAAAGCACTATAGGATGCAGTGTCACCACCAGACCCCACCCCAGGGTGTGGCCCACAGAAAAGCAAATAGCTAGTCCTTCAGTGCCAGCCTGGAACTCATAGTCTAGTGGGAGACTGTCCCTGAGTAGTGAAAGAACATCTCTAGGCCAGAGTTTCCTCATCTGAAGAATGGGACTGATAGCAACTGTCTCAGACAGTTGTGTGAAAATTAATGAGCTGGTGAGGGTAAATAGTTTAGGATAGAACCACCACGTAAGCACTCGGGAAACCTAGCCGTGATTGTAAATGATATTAGAGAATTGTAAGATAGTGCTAAGGAAGCACAGAAAAGAGTGGTCCAAAGCAAGCCCCTTTCTTGGAGGAAGTGTCCAGAATTGTCTTGAAGAATAATTAGGAAATGTTAAGGCTACCACGGGTACTAAATCATGATGAAAAAGACACTGAATGTTACTTTAGGACTATGAATTTATCCTTTGAGTGATGAGAACTTGTCCTCGCCAAATGACTCCAAGCAAGAAAGCAAGGTCAGATTTGCGCTTTCCAACCACGGCCTTTCAGTAGCTGTTGCAGGCTCAATCTATGTGGCGCAGCATCCCACAGGCCTCTCACGGAAGTTGCACAAATGCCCGCGGCCGTCAGCCTGCAACTCCCTGCAGGCAATGCTACCTGGCTCCTCTCAAGCACAGTGACCACCTGCTTCTATAGGAGTACTCTGGGCGTTTTGGCAGTGTTTAGATGGAGAAACAGTGGAAACAGTGTCAGACTTTATTTGGGGGGGCTCCAAAATCACTGCAGATGGTGATTGCAGCCATGAAATTAAAAGACGTTTACTCCTTGGAAGGAAAGTTATGACCAACCTAGATAGCATATTAAAAAGCAAAGTCTTTGCCAACAAAGGGCCGTCTAGTCAAGGCTATGGTTTTTCCAGTGGTCATGTATGGATGTGAGAGTTGGACTATAAAGAAAGCTGAGCACTGAAGAATTGATGCTTTTGAACTGTGGTGTTGGAGAAGACTCTTGAGAGTCCCTTGGACTGCAAGGAGATCCAACCAGTCCATCCTAAAGGAGATCAGTCCTGGGTGTTCATTGGAAGGACTGATGCTAAGCTGAAACTCCAGTACTTTGGCCACCTCATGCAAAGAGGTGACTCATTCGAAAAGACCCTCATGCTGGGAGGGATTGAAGGCAGGAGGAAGAGTGGATGACAGAGGATGAGATGGCTGGATGGCAACACCGACTCGATGGACATGAGTTTGAGTGAACTCTGGGAGTTGGTGATGGACAGGGAGGCCTGGCCTGCTGCGATTCATGGGGTCGCAAAGAGTCGGACACGACTGAGTGACTGAACTAAACTGACGGTTGCTCGACCAGACTAGATGTGGGTCGCAGACCCAGGAAATAAAGAATCTTGGGCCTGTGCTATACTTGGCTCTGGGAAAAAAAAAAAAAAGCAGACGCATTATTTTATCAACAAAGGTCCATCTAGTCAAGGCTATAGTTTTTCCAGTGGTCATGTATGGATGTGAGTTGGACTCTAAAGAAAGCTGAGCACTGAAGAATTGATGCTTTTGAACTGTGGTGTTGGAGAAGACTCTTGAGAGTCCCTTGGACTGCAAGGAGATCCAACCAGTCCATCCTAAAGGAGATCAGTCCTGAGTGTTCACTGGAAGGACTGATGTTGAAGCTGAAACTCCAATACTTTGGCCACCTGATGCAAAGAGCTGACTCATTTGAAAAGACCCTGATGCTGGTAAAGATTGAGGGCAGGAGGAGAAGGGGACAACAGAGGATGAGATGGTTGGATGGTATCACCGACTCAATGGACGAGTTTGGGTAGACTCCGGGAGTTGGTGATGGACAGGGAGGCCTGGTGTGCTGTGGTTCATGGGATCACAAAGAGTCAGACACGACTGGGTGACTGAACTGACTGATGGATGTAGAACCACAGAGACAGAGGGCCAACAATACACTTATACTTGAATTTTCAACTGCACGGCGGTTTCAACTGCACAACCCCATGTTGTTCAAGGATCAACTGCTATATACACACAAGGGGAGTAGAAACACAGAATCAACTAGCTGGTCTCATAAAGCAGGACTGTGAGAATAGGAAAAGGACAAATCAGTAACAGATTTTTATAAAAGGTTGCCTGAGTGAGAGGCCTGAGTGAGACAGCTCATGGGACATTCTCACACAACTAGGGGACTGTGAGCATAAACTGGGTGTCTAGAGGCATCCAAGAGGCACAGTAATTAAAGGCAAAGACATGCTTTGTCTACTTCCTGATTTTTCACTTCCCTGTCTCCCCATCTTTGAGCAGACACAAACCCTAGAAGACTCTGAAACATACCTAAATTCACCATAGATTCATATAGCCCTACCTAACATGATGGTTTCTCCTAAAGAAAAATTAAACTCACAAAGAAAAAGAAAAGATAACTGAATTGGGAATCTTACTTTAATCCAAATAGTTTACGACTCTGAGATAAAAATAAAGATGAATCAATTTTACTCACCAACAGTTTCTTCTGATGCAGCAGTCAAAGCTAGAAACTTTTTTGTATTTTCCATTTCCTCGTTACTTTGCAAAACTTCACCATTTTTTGCAGACTAATAAAAAAGAAGAAAAGCTTAAACATGGGGAAAGAAGGCAACTGTATTCATTGATATATTTTTTTAAATTCTAAGATGGTTTCCAATTCAGTTCATAAATACAGGTCATTTTTACTCCTTTAATTGGGAAATCTGTTCATGTTTCCTGTTTCCTCAAAATTCTGTCAATGAGTATTGCCAGTTAAGAGCTGGAATATGTCTATCTCTATATGATAATTACCTTGCTTTAAATTTCTGTTTAATAATAAGCAAGTTTCATATATTTCAAAATTGGTATTATTTTATTATGACTCCAGCTATAATTCATATTTCCAAGCAAGTAAAAATTTGCTTTGATATTCAACAGAGGTAAGTGATAGACTAACTTTTCCTGCTAAAATTTCTTTCTCTAGCTTAAAGCCAGAGAAGGCAATGGCAACCCACTCCAGTACACTTGCCTGGAAAATCCCATGGATGGAGGAGCCTTGTAGGCTACAGTCCATGAGGTTTGCTAGGAGTCGGACACGACTGAGCAACTTCACTTTCACTTTTCACTTTCATGAACTGGAGAAGGAAATGGCAACCCACTCCAGTGTTCTTGCCTGGAGAATCCCAGGGATGGGGAAGGCTGGTGGGCTACCGTCTGTGGGGTTGCACAGAGTTGGACACAACCGAAGCAACTTAGCAGCAGCAGCAGCAGCTTAAAGCACTGCATTTTATATACTTACTTTTCCATCCCAGTGGTCTTCCTGCGAACCTTGTAAAAATGTATTCTTAACTACTTTACTGTTAATTCACATCATTGCCTGGGAGATTTCCTAGAAGTCAGTCAACTAATCAAGGAAGAATTTATCAAAAACAATCCATCTATTGTTATAATGTTCCTTATCTTAAAAGTGCAGTGGGTATATACAAGTCAGTGCCAACATCTGGTCGACTTCCACCCCTCAATACTACAGAGAATAAAAGGTCCAAGAAGGCCAAGGAGAGTTAATCAAGCATTAGAAATTCACTAAGACAGAAGTATATAGAGCATGGTCACAGATCACAAGCATTTTACAGCTTCCCAAAGAGATCTTGACCAGCGTGTAAAATAGTCAACTCTTCGCCTGTTTGTCGCAGAAGTTTACTCAAATAATGATGGTAACCAGGGGGTTAGATGTTTTTGTTTTTGTGTACTTATCTCCAAACTGTAAGCTTGCTGAAGAAAAAGCTGACATATATAGCTGATGAAAGTAGGCACCAAATTCCTTCCTATTCCAGACATGGAGGAACCCAGGCACCCAGGCCAGACACTAGAGAGACAAGCCTATTGTGCTGTCTGAGGAATGAAGACGCTCAGGGCAGTGACCGAAATCTGGAATCCTGCAAAATCACCTTCTCCAGCTCCAGAAAACTGTCTCTCTCACTGCTCCCTCACCCCATACACACATATAAACACTACTGCCCTACTTCCACAAAATAAATTAAGGCAGACCATACTAACACTACCAGAGGCCATGCTATTCCTACTTATTAAAAGAAGTTGCTTCTCACATATCAGCATAAGGTTATACAATTCTTACCTTAAGTTCCTCCCACAGCTTTATTCTCATTTCTAGACCTTGCTTCTTAATTTCTTTTTCTCTGTATTGTCTCTTCACCAATATCTTGTCAAGCCTCTTCATCTTCCAAATAGCATCCTGAAGTTGAGAATCTAATTCTTTTAATTCAAATTCATCTGTATTATGTTGAAAGTAGAAATGAGCATGAAGTTTATTAAAATCATAAAGCTTTTTTTTCTTGTTTTACTTTTACTATTTGATCTTTCATTCAACAAATGTTTATGGTTGGTGTTAATAACTAACATTGGTTTCATGTATTTTGGTTTGGAAAAAAGTGAAAGTGTTAGTCATTCAGCTGTTTCCAATACTTTGCCATCCTATGGACTGTGGCCTTCCAGGCTCCTCTGTGCATGACATTTTCCAGGTAAGAATACTGAAATGAGTAGCCTTTCCATTCTCCAGGGGTTCTTCCCAACCCAGGGATCAAATCTGGGCCTTCTGCTTTGCAGATGGATTCTTTACCATCTGAGCCACCAGGGAAGCCTGCTTTTGCTTTTTTTTTTTTTCCCCATATAATTATCTAACAACCTTGTGAAATAGACATTTACTTCTCTTTTACAGTTGAGATAATTTAATCCTTTCAAATAGCTAATAAATCATAGCACTGAATTCAGAAGTGGGTCTAATATGATTTTTAACCCCAAATTCTTTTTCCTTCATTCTGCTATACTTTCTATATTCATAATTAACAAGGAATAAGACAAAGACCCTATCCTGAAATTGCTTTAGACTAGCTGAAAGAGAAGTCACTTACACAAATAGCTATAGTAAAATGTAGTATGTCAGAGACACAGAGTAATTCCACCATGTTAGAAACAAATTCAGAAAAGTACACCATGTATCTAAACACCTTTCATGTACACCCCTTCCTATTATTCTATTTTCCTGAAATACCTTAAAGTAAAAGTGAAAGTTGCTCAGTCATGTCTGACTCTTTGCAACCCCATGGAATATACAGTCCATGGAATTCTCCAGGCCAGAATGCTGAAGTTGGTAGCCTTTCCCTTCTCCAGGGGATATTCCCAACCCAGGGACCGAACCCAAGTCTCCCGCATTGCAGGTGGATTCTTTACCAGCTGAGCCATCAGGGAAGCCCAAAACACTCTAAAATGTTCTTGAATTATGGATAATTGATAGTTAGAAACTATTTAGAACTTCTGTTATTTTTCACTTATGATTATGCTTAATAATATTAATAATTATCATTATTATTATGTCATATTAATAATAGCAGCTAATGCCCCAGACAGTAAAGAATCCTTCTGCAAAGCAGGAGACCTGGGTTCAATCCCTGGGTCAGGAAGATCCCCTGGAGAAAGGAATGCCTATCCACTCAGTATTCTTGCCTGGAAAATCCCATGGACAGAGGAGCCTGGCAGGCTACAGTCCATGGGGTCACAAAGAGCCAGACATGACTGAGCGACTAATACTATCACTACTACTAACATTTATACATTTACCTGATAGACACAGTGTTAAATGCTTTATTTACATTCATTATCTTGTATAATCCTCACCATAAACCAGCGAGATGGAATAATTATTGCCCCTATTTTACAAAAAATTAGTAAACTGAGGCTAATTTGTAACTGAGTTAAATACATGTCCAAGATCTATCATCTTATAACTAGTAAAAGCCAGAGACTGTCTCTGCCCAGATCTGTGTTGACTCCAGAGCTAAAGCTCTTTACCGCCAGGAGATAATTCCTCTGTAAAGTCTGATGAAAGATGATAACCTAGCAATGAGCATAGGTGTTCAAATCCTGAAGTCTCAGCTATCCCAGCTTAGATCATCAGAAATGTCATATTATGCAAACAAAAGCCAAGTTTTGCAACTTTTGAAAATACAAAGAGTCCAATGGTGTTTCCCTATAATGTATATCACTTTCTCTTAAAAGAAAAGGAGATATGTTTAGAGGGAAGAAGCTTACCCAAAAAGAATACTGATCCTACTAATAAGGAGACTCTACAAATTGTATCGCTCACGTATGTCAAACGCAAAAGCCTCTAGTTCTAACTCCAACTGGCAGCCCTAGCATTCTCAAGCTCCATGTATACAGGTGGTCTATCCAGCAGGCATTTTGAAGTTAACTCTTGCTACACAGAAACAATATAATGCAATGTACTATAAACACTACTAAATATAATGTAATGTAAACAATACAATGTAAATGGAGCCACTAGCTAGTCTCAACTCTAATACCTCGTTTCCTGATAACTGTAATCCTGAGTCACCTGGTCTGAGAGCTAATCTCATCCCAAACAGAATTTAAATCAGTTCTCAAAGTTTATGAGCTTGCTACTGAACCCAAACTCATTCTGCTCACCGCATGACAGGCCAATAAACCAGAAAACGAGCTGCTGTAACAAGAAATGACAACTTGAGTCAAAAAACTAGCAGACTGAGAAGATGTCAGACTAGCATCTCAAAAAAATATCTCGCTGTCAGTCCAAATCTGGGCTCTTTTTAATACACAACAGGGGGAGGGGGAGGGACCCACTGTGGCACCAACCAATGGCTGAGCAGGGCTACTAATGGTTGCTGATTGACAGTTGCTCATTAACGGTCACTTGCTTGGGGGAGGGGCCCACTGTGGCACCAACCAATGACTGAGTGGGGCCACTATAGCTGGTGTCTGCCTTGCTGCTACTGCGCCCCAAGCAGAAAGGTACAACTGCAGAAAGCAGCCAGGTGTGAACTAGCACCTGGCGTTCTAGCAACATCATTCTTCAACCCACAGAGCAAGGTGTGCAGGCAGCAGAGACCATTCGTGGCCATGTGGAGGTGGCTGACACGCCCATCAACCAGAACCATTGGCTGAGGCAGTGGGCACTGTGAGCACAGCCACACCAGCCAGCCTGTGACCCCCAAGGCAGCCTCAGCTGGTGCCCCCAAAGTGGAGCTCCCTGTTTGTGGAACTGGCTGTTTGTGCAGCGGGAGCCAGCCAGCCTGGTGGGCTAGTCAAGGTCTGAGCGGAGAGGGGCAACTGAGCAGCCCCTGCCTCAACGGAGCCCACAGGCCGGTGCCAGAGAGGGAAGAGGCCATCACGCCTCGGGTGCAGGCTGGGGAGGCCACCACTACAAGCTCAGCTTTCCTTTATGGTTTATAAATTATGGAGAACCCAAAGTAACTTTTGTTTATGTGAGTTATGTCTATGGATAATTACCATATTAGAAATCAAAATTGAAGAATATCATTAATATAAATTTATTCATTTTTAAATAATAAACATGGCATTACTTATTACATTTTAACACAAATATAACACTTTTATGACAAATAGCTACATTTGCCAAAAACATTGTTGAGAAGAATAGTGATATTTTCAATCGTTAGTATCTGGATTAATAGAAGACAGCTGGATTCACGTATCTGCTTCAAAGTCAATCTACTGTAATCTGTTGCTTCAGTTAAAGTATATGAAGAAAATTTGGCCTTACACAGTAGTTGGAAAGGGGAGGAGAAATACCCTTTTCAGATAATGGTGGTGAAGATAATTCTTCTTTAATACTAATATCAAAACTGGACAAGAGATAGTTTCTTAAAGGTTAGTTATAATGTGAAATCTGTAACCCTAGCTTATTCCATAAATCCATGGATCTATTTTTCATGTTAAACGGATCCTTTATCCTGCATTGGTTATATGGAAAACAGTGGTTCACTGAATTATGCAAACCTTCAAAATATATCACATTTGTTAATATTGTCACCGACTTTTATCGGAAAGGTCTAAGTACTAGGAAGTTGTGAAGCTCATATTGACACACACGAATTTTCTAAGATTCTAAGTTTTTACTTGAAAGCTCAAATTTTATCATTACAAAAAGTGCTGTCAGTTGTTTTCCTGAATTAACAGGTCCATTTCATTTTTTACAAAAATGGCTGCCAAAATACTTAAGTCTGAATGGTAATAGTTTGTCTGCCACTTATTCTTTCAAGTGAAAATGGAGTCCCATTAAAAAATGACCAGTTCAACTCTCAAAGTACCACACAAACACTTTTCCTCAACACAACCTTCACATTTTGGTATAGAGTGGAACTGCATTATATGTACCTCCCAATTTACCACATAGGATATAGAAAAGATGTGTACTCAAAGGTCAAGATTAATTAGAGTTTAAAATTTTTACTGCTCCATCAAGAACATTCTTGAGTGACATTGGCTATTTCTTTCTTCTGCCTGTGCCAGGCCTTAAAGAACACAATGACTATTAGTACACTTTGATGCCATTCATTGTCCTGATTCATGTCAAAGCACCAGCAATTTTACCCACCAATGCTTTTGTACCATCAGTGAAACCATTCAGTGGGCAAAAAAGCAAACAGAATCATTTCAGTATTGTAATGAATTATATTACTGATATATCAGTATTACAATGAAACTAGTTTTTACCTTGCAGAGTTCCTAAAAGGGCCTCAGAGCCCAGGGCTCAAAACAGCCCATGTTTTGAGACTGCAGTTCTAATTCACTTTGACCAGTATTAATAACCATGGGAAAAAAGGAGCTTTTTGAAATCCAGAAGTTATTAAAATAAAATGGGATTATCCCTTAAAAGCCATTTATATATTACAGGATACATTTTATCATACAATTTTCAAAAAGATCAATAAATTATGTCATAAAATACAGAAATACTTCCTACTTCATTAAAATGATTACAGTAACAATTTTATTATATGACATATTTTATTATATTTCTACATGTACTTAAGAACTCTCAATATTCTTATAAACAAGAACTTGGTGATTTGCTTGCTCACAAAAAAAAAGTATTTTATTATGTCTACATAATAAAAAATAAAAATAAATAATAAAAAACATATGTAATTCTAATATTTTAACTATAGCATCTGTAATCATCATTAGCTAATTACCAAGTAATTATCCTACCTGAACATTCAGGGACTATCTGATGTTGACCCAAGTTCGAATCTTCATCTGACCCCTCTTCAGGCAATTTTGTTTTCTCAGAGTAGCTTTCCCCTTTATTATCATTACTGTTTCTACTCTCCTCTGTATTATTGCTTTCTGAGTGGCCTTCTTTACCAGAGTTCAAATTGATTGCAGTATCAACCTAAAAATGATTTCCAAAGAAATAGTTTTCAAAAATAATGTTTTTGATTTTACATTTCTAGACTATTTTAACTCAAATATAAGTATATATAAGGACATGCATCATTCAGTAGTGTTAAATTATTCTAGAAATATAACACTTGATAAATACAATTTACATACACAATTAAATTTAATAACATTTGCACCAAAGTAATATGCACCACTCTCCAGCAATTTCTAGCAATAATAGAGAAGAATCAGTCCCAAAGAGAATCTCTCTCTGTCAAGCTCTGAGGATGAGGCACGATGGTCCCTGCTGCCTGAGCTTACTCTCAGGTGGAGAGTCAAGGATCTAGAGCAGGACTAAGCAACATAGTCACTGGTCACATGTGGCTATCGAACAGCTGCAAAGTGAACAGTCTGAATTGCAGTGTGCTTCTAATGGAGTTCCTCAAATCAGAACCATGTGCTTTGGTTAATCATTTACTCTTATACTAGTCACAGCTTTTCTATTTCATTTTGGTTTCTCTTTCCATTTTAGCAAAGTTTATTTGCTAAAAACTGGTGAAGACACCAGTTTGGTGCAGCTGTTTTCCTAAGAGAGGACAGGAAAACACATCCATGGCTGCACGAAGCAAAAACAGGGATCACAGGGCTTGAAGGCTGTGCTTGGCAGTGAAAGTCACCTTGGAAATTAACACAGCCCACAAGAGAGGCAAAAACCTCAGGGAAAGTGGAGACATACCTTTCCCCTCCAACGGACGGAATGTCTGCTCCAGCCCTGCAGGACTCAGCCCTTGGAGGCTTTCATGCTCATGGTCTACACTCCATCACTGCAATCTGGGTCCCCTTGTGAATCTCCAGGACAGAAGGTAGGTAGTGCTGAGAATTAAACTGCCAGGGTTTAATTGCTTACACGACTGCACAAGCATCTCTCTTCACCTGAACTAGGACATAAGCCCCAGGAGAACTGAGCTGAGTCAGTAGTATAAAAATCACAACTAACGTTTCCTGAGGAATTACTACTGGCCAGGTCCTGTGCTGAGTGCTTGACACACACTGCCTCAGTCACGTCTCACAATGACCCTGTGGGATAGGTGTTACTGCCCCAAGTTAACAGAGAAGAAAACAGGTACATTATGGACTGAAACTAGTAGAGACCCAATTTATAATAAGCAAAACAATGCTTACTTTATGTGATCTTGGAAGTGTTAAAGAGGGTTTCCTGTTCAAAAATATTCTTCTGTGAAAGGCCAGGTAAAGCCTAAAATTCCACAATATCCAGTAAATTCTTAAGGCTGCATAGTTTCGTGAAAATGCTGACATTGCTAGGAGAAGTCACATGAGCCCTGTCAGTAATTTATATCTTGGCATAAATGAATCGAGCTGACCTTTCCCTGAGGATGAGTTTTTATACAGGGGTAACATAAAGAGATATTAACAACTACTCAGATACCACATTTCAGTATACACAAAGATCTTTCACATGTATCATCCTATATGATCCTGACTCTTAGAATGAGCAGGAAAAATGAGACAAAAGACATGAAACAGAACAAAAGGCAAATACTGCCCATTTCACAATTTTACCCACAGTTTCCCACCCCACTAGCACCAACCATCTCCCCATCCCACTGCCCATGGGCCTCTCTATTCCTGACCCTTCTAACTGTCTACCCTGTGGTCTGTTTGCTTTTTCTTACTTCTTCATTCTCAAAGCCACATTCAGTTTCCACTTTTCATTGTTCCATGTCCCCTACTTCATATCTCCATGTTAGTTCCAGGAAAGGTAGATAGTCTATAAAAACACTTTCAAACAATTAGATCCCTACCTGAAACCCATGAGATTTTTACACCAGTTGCAACAATTGGCTCTTTCAAGAAAAATATTCAGAAGCAACAACAAACCAAAATTCTAAGAATGAGAACTATACCATTACTACAGAAATTTCATTAAAATTCTAGCATTTTAGGGACTTCCTGGCAGTCCAGTGGTTAAGAATCCATGCTTCCACTGCAGGGGATGCAGCTTCAATCCCTGATCAGGAAATTAGATCCCACAAGCTACACACCATATGGCAAAAAAAAAAAAAAAAAACCCTCTAGCATTTTAAATTCATTTTCTGCCACTCAGAAATTTTTGCAAGAAATTAATAAGACAAATGAGCAATAAAACTAATCAAAATACTAGGATTTATTATTCTGACAATGTAAAACGTCTTACAGACACCGAATCATTTGCAGTCAGCAGTCAACATGCAGCATACCTGTGGATTTTCTACCCCAGCCCCAGATGAACCTTATTGATTTTCCACGAACTTGATTAAGACAAATCAACAAATCACAACATTTACAAAGTCTTGCCTTTGATATAAGTATCAAAGTCCTTGTTGGTTAATAAATATGCTAGAGTTTGTTTTGACCTACAGTTTTGTGGGTTCAAATAAAATATGCCTGGAATTAATTGCTGATATATTTCTTTTAAATAAATTTTGAATGAGGTAATATTAAGCTATGTTTTAAAACATGTGCATCAATATTGTGAAGTTGCTGCTTTAAAAAAAAATCATCACCCAGGAATATGTAAGCAGAAATACTAATCCTTTGCTACTCTAAAATGTCAGGTCTTTGTAAATATATTATCCTACCTACATAAAATGGTAAAAATTTCATTCTAAATTTGTTAAATACAGTTATGTGACTAGCTACTATGTGTCTGACTTTACACTGAATCCCATGAAAAATAACACAGGAAGGACTGACCAATTAGGTTAAAGAATTAAGGTCAATTAGCCAAGATGTATTGAGTACTTACTAGGTCTGGTCACTTCTAAAAATGGCAGATATTTCACTCATTTTATCCCCAAAACATGCCTAAGAGGTGAACAGTATTATTACACCTTTGAACAGATTAGGAAACTGACACAGAGAGTCAAAGTATTAATAATTTTCCCAAAATCACATAAAATGTGGTCAGCAGAGCCTATTTTGAACCCATAACTCCAGAGTTTAGGTTTATAATGAATCAGTAAGCTTGAGACTAAAGAGTCTAAAATTGTTTTGGGCTACTGGAATCTAAAACTGTTTTAGGTTCCAGTTTGGGCTATGTGGAAAACCAAATAAACTGAAACCTTCCATCTACTTAGATGGAACTTAGTTCTGAGTTCACAAGGATACTGGGGAAATTTCCAGTCAAAAGAAATTAAAAGGAAACTAACATCTATTTCTGCTTTATTGACTATGCCAAAGCCTTTGACTGGGTGGATCACAATAAACTGTGGAAAATTCTGAAAGAGATGGGAATACCAGAACACCTGACCTGCCTCTTGAGAAACCTGTATGCAGGTCAGGAAGCAACAGTTAGAACTGGACGTGGAACAACAGACTGGTTCCAAATAGGGAAAGGAGTACGTCAAGGCTGTATATTGTCACCCTGCTTATTTAACTTATATGTAAAGTATATCATGAGAAATACTTGGAGGAAGCACAAACTGGAATCAAGATTGCTGGGGAAAATATCAATAACCTCAGATACGCAGATGACACCACCCTTATGGCAGAAAAGTGAAGAAGAACTAAAGAGCCTCTTGATGAAAGTGAAAGAGGAGACCGAAAAAGTTGACTCCAAGCTCAACATTCAGAAAACTAAGATCATGGCATCTTATTTGGGGGGGCTCCAAAATCACTGCAGATGGTGATTGCAGCCATGAAGTTAAAAAACACTTACTCCTTGGAAGGAAAGTCATGACCAACCTAGGCAGCATATTAAAAAGCAGAGACATCACTTTGCCAACAAAGGTCCATCTAGTCAAGGCTATGGTTTTTCCAGGGGTCATGTATGGATGTGAGAGTTGAACTATAAAGAAAGCTGAGTGCAGAAGAATTGATGCTTTTGAACTGTGGTGTTGGAGAAGACATGGAACCGGACATGGAACAATGGGCTGGTTCAAAATTGGGAAAAGATTACATCAAGGCTGTATATTGTAACCCTGCTTATTTAACTTATAGGCAGAGTACATCATGCAAAATGTCAGGCTAGATGAATCAAAAGCTGGAATCAAGATTGCCAGGAGAAAATATCAGCAACCCCAGATATGAAGATGACACCACCCTAATGACAGAAAGCAGACAGGAACTAATGAGACTTTTGATGAAAGTGACAGAGGAGAGTGAAAAATCTGGCTTAAAACTCAACATTCAAAAAGATAAATTCATGGCACCGAGTCTCATCACTTCATGGCAAATAAACGGGGAAAAGATGGAAACTGACAGACTTTTATTTTCTTGGGCTCAAAACTCAGTGCTCCAATGCAGACAGTGACTGCAGCCATGAAATTAAAAGACATTTGCTCCTTGGGAAAAAAAGCTATGACAAATTTAGACAGCGTATTAAAAAGCAGAGACATCACTTCGCCAACAAAGGTCCATATAATCAAAGCTACGTTTTTCTCAGTAATCATGTACAGATGTGAGAGTTAGACCATAAAGAAGGCTGAGCACCAAATAATTAATGCTTTCAAATTGTGGTGCTGGAGAAGACTCTTGAGGGTCCCTTGGACAGCAAGGAGAACAAAACAGTCAATCCTAAAAGATATCAATCCTGAATATTCATTGGAAGGACTGGTGCTGAAGCTGGAGCTCCAACACTTTAACCACCTGATGCAGAGCTGACTCATTAGAAAAGACCCTGTTGCTGGGAGGGATTGAAGGCAGGAGGAGAAGGGGATGTCAGAGGATGAGATAGTTGGATGGCATCACCAACTCAATGGGCGTGAGTTTGAGCAAACTCCGGGAGATGGTGAAGGACAGGGAAGCCTAGCGTACTGCAGCCTATGGGGTTGCAAAGAGTTAGACACAACTTAGAGACTGAACAACAACAACAACAACTGAAATAGGAACCGTAAATCCTTAAAGCAGATGCCCTGGTGGGGGTTGGGTGGGAGTGGAGTGTGTGTGTGTTAAGTTGCTTCAGTTATGTCTGATTCTTTGTGACCCTATGGACTGCAGCCCACCAGGCTCCTCTGTCCATGGGATTCTCCAGGCAAGAATACTGGAGTGCTTTGCCATGCCCTCCTCCAGGGGATCTTCCCAACTCAGGGACTGAACCTGCATCTCTTATGTCTCCTGCATTGGCAGGCAGGACTCTTTACCACTAGTACCAGGACAGGTAAAAGAAAAATATGCTGGCCTCAGAAAGCCATGGCCTTGGGCTTTACCACCTACACAGAGCTAGGAGACTAGGACTTGGGCTCATGCAAGACAAGATGGAGAAGACCCTTCCCTCTCCTGCTTCATGAAGCTGGATCCCTAAAGGTGCCTCCTCAGTAACAGTGCAGACTAGAAAAATATATCTATCCAAAAGCACAGGATACTAACAAAAAACGTGTCTGTGTTCCAAGTGGTAAACAGTCTTCCCTGAGAATGTGCAACCATGCAGTCATGCTTTATGTGGGTTTGAATTCCAATTAATATTATTCATGTACTCTGGAATGCTTAAAGATGAAAAATTAGCTGAAAAAAAAAAAAAAAAAGATTCATGCCAGTGGTATCTCTGAGCCATTTTGTAGAAGCAAACAGAAACTTGCTCCGGAAGGTACAGCTTCAAATCAGGCTCCATAAATTTTCCAAAATTCAAACTCACAATCCCAAAGTTCAAAACCCATGAACACATGACCAACAGTAAACAAGAATCAGAATAAACAAAATAACTTAAGATATTACTATAAAAATCTGATAAAGATTAATATTTAATATTCTTAAGAAAGAATCCAAATAACACAAAAAGAATAAGATATTCTTTTTAAGAATTCTCCAATCCAGGGGATCTTCCCAACCCTGGGACCAAACCCAGGTCTCCCACATTGCAGGTGGATTCTTTATCAGCTGAGCCACAAGGGAAACCCAGAAGTATTGGAGTGGATAGCCTATCCCACTCCAGTAGATCTTCCCAACCCAGAAATCGAACCTGGGTCTCCTGCATTGCAGGCAGATACTTTACCAACTGAGCTACCAGGGAAGCCCTAATAATAAGCAAGATTCAGAATAAACAAAAGGACTTAAGATATTATTATAAAAAGCTGATAAATAGTTCTAATGAGTCTGAAGAAAGAATCCAAATAACACAAAAAGGTTAAGATACATTTGAAAATAAATGACAAAGGACTTCAAGAAATTAAAAATATATCATTAAGATTAAAAATTCAATGGATAGATTAAAGAACAGATTTGACACAGTATTAGAAAGAATTCTAAGAAATATATGTTAAAAATTCCACAGCATGATGCACAGAAAAATAAATGAAATTTTTTTAAAAAAATTTTAAGAGACATAAAGAATAGAAAAGAAAGGTTCAACAGAAATTTTATTGGACTTCCAGGATGTCAAAATAGAAAAAAAAAAAATGCAGGCAATATTTGAAACATGTGAAAATACAGTGGCTAAGAAGTTCTTTTAAAAAAAGTAAAAAACACACATCCCTACACTGTAGTAGTACTAGTCTCCAGAAAGACAAATTAAATAAGTCCATACCTAGGGGAGTAATAATAGATATCAAAGACAAAGGGAAAAAAAAATAAAGTGGCCAGAGAAAAATATCTAAACTAGACAACCGACACTGGAATGAATATTGGGCTTACAAAAGCCTTCTCACTGGCAACAAAAGAGGCAAGAATCTAAATGTAAAATATAAAACTATAAAACTTTCAAAAGAAAAAACAGGAACAAATCTTTGGGAACTTGGGTTAGACAAAGGATTCTTAGATACAACCAAAAAACACAATTCTCAAAAGAAAAAAGCATGATGAATTTCACTTAAAAATTTAAATGCTCTTTAAAAGACACAGTTAAAGGAAAGAAAAACCAAGCTATAGACTAGGAGAAAATATTTGCAAATCATCTATGACAAAAGACTATTTACTTACTGTTAACTTTTCAGAGTTCTTTATGTATTCTAGATACAGTCTTTTGAACATAAACTTTCCAAAAAAGATATGTGAATTGTAAATAAGCACATAAAAACACAACATTATTAGCCATCAGGGAAATTCCAGTTACACCCTCAATGAGATACTACTTTATACTTATTGTATGTATGCAACTATTTACAGCAGCTTTATTCATAATCACCAAAATCTGCAAACTACCCAAATGTTCCTCACCTGGGGAATGAATAAGCAAACTGTGGTTTACCCACACAATGGAATGCTACTAACCAATAAAAAGATGTGAGCTATTGGAACAAGCATCAACATGGATAAGTCTCAAACGCATTGTGCCAGCAAACAAAAGCCAGACTCAAAAGCTACATTTTTTTTAACTTCATTCGTATGACCTTCTGGAAAAGGAAAAACTATAGGGACAGAAAACAGATCCAGAGTTTCCAGGGATTAAGAGTAGGGGAGACTGTTTATGACAGGATAGCATGAGGGCATTTTTGAGAGGTAATGACGGAACTGTTCTATATTGTGATTGTGATAACATCACTCCACACATGTGCCAAACTCAGAATTAAACACCAAAAAAGAGTGAATTTCACAGTATGTAAAATGTTTAAATTACAAGCAAAGAAGTCAATGAGATACTATGTAAATAGATGGGAAGATTTACTATCATAAAATTAGAAATTCTCTCCAAATTAATCTATAAATTCAAAGCAATTTCAATCAAAACCTCAACAGTATTTTTCATAGAACTTGAAAACTGTTCTAAAATATAAAAACAACAAAAAGCCAAGTATAGCTAGGACAGTTCTAGAGAAAAATATGATGGGGAGACCGATCTCATCAGATATCAAGAATTATTACAATACTGTAAGAGTTAACACACAGTAATGATGCAGGATTAGATGAAGCAAAACATAAGAGTTAAGCTAGAAATTGTATTTTACAAAGCTGCTTGCAGGCCGGATTCTGGATATGTGTTAGTTTCATCCAATTAGGTGCATCTGCACAAAATTTCTACCGCAGAAATGAGGTAGAAGCCATCTTACTAAGCTCCTGATATGCAGCTGGTCTCTTTACTGACTGAGCCACCAAGGAAGCCCTATAATATTGACAAGAAGTATCAAAGGCAGTCACCTCTGCATGTCTAGTCATCAGTTTCATGGTTCTGAGAGACGTGTAGAATATCAGAGGCAGCACCAGCAGCAGCTTTCAGATCTCTGGAGTTTGGATAAGGTGGTGTGACTGGGCTTCCCTACTGGCTCAGCAGGATGGACTCTGCCTGCAATGCAGAAGACACAGGAGACCTGGGTTTGATCCTTGCGTAGGGAAGATCTCCTGGAGGAGGAAATGGAAAATCCCATGGGCAGAGGAGCCCGACAGGCTACAGGCCACAGGGTCACAAAACAGTTGCACGTGACTGAGCATGCACGCACAGTGAGACCTGGGAACCAACAATCCAAGGGAAGTCCCTCCCATGGCTTCCTTTTCAGCTGGCCCTCAACTGATTTAGGAACTGAATTTCTTGTATTCGATCTGGAATGCATTCTACGCTGGAAATGCCTAGAATGCTTTCTATTTCCAGCATTAAATCATGATAGACAATCCTCTAAGAGTTTCGTAATGCAGTCTAACCCATAAGTTGAAAGAGTAAGTGAGAAAGGAGTCAAAAAACTACAAAGAAAATTTTCACCATAAGCGTCAAAATTTTTGTTTCCCACAACCTTAAAACAAACAAACTGCCCCACATCACAGAGAGAAAAACAGATACTTAAAAAAAAAAACAAACATCGAATTAGATATTTTGAGAAAAGATAGAAAGACTAATAAAGATAATAAAGGGAGTCACAGCCAGGTAATGTACCTACTAAATATATATCATGTGGTCTTGATCCAAACACTGCTTTTTAAATTACTAAATCTTTTTCATAGCAAGAGTCAATGGTGGCATAGTGGATATTGGAATACAAAGCTTTCTTATGAAAGAAGAAAAGTTAACAAATGAGCATTATCAAAGTACAACTGTGGAAAAATAAGCCATACTCTATCCCCCCTCCCACAAAGAGATGGGAAAGTAAAGAAGGAAAGAGTATTTTCACATTAAAAGATCCAAAGTTACAAACAAGAAATCTGTGAGTGCTCCCAGAACACACCTTTTAAAGAGGAAACTTAGAAGGGGATGTTAACAACAACTCTGGTTTACCAATTGCTAGAGATTGAAAGAAGTCGTTTATATCATTTCTAAACAGCAAAGTACCTTGAAGGATGCTGGTTCTGGTGACAGTACCTCCAGAGAAGCATTTGAACTTCGGCTCCCAGGACGTGTTCTTGAATTTGAGGCTGGTTTTGAAATTCCATCTAAGTTTCCCTTTATAATATCCATTGATATCCTGAAACAAAATTTTAAGCAAGTTGTAACCTGTATGTTTAAATGTTTCATCACTGTTAACATGCAGTTAACTCAGAGCCTTTGTTACAAGGATTATGTTGCTACCAAACTCACAGGACCCTAACTTCATCAAAAGATGTCTATGTCCACGGATCATTACATTTTACATTGCTGTAAGTGGAAAAAAAATGCTGCCCAGGATATTCGATTCTGAAAGTGGCTAAAAAAGTGCGGAAGTGAATGCCATTCAGTAGCTTTCTGCATCTCCAAGAGAAACTTATACTGTGTCCTAGGCCTTAGAAGACACTTTCCGAGAACCACACCTCTCAGCCAAGACTCATGTTTTATAGTAATAATTTCCCAAGGCTTCTACTTGCTTTTGGCTTTACTTGCCTTATTCTAGCTCAGCCTTCAGCCTGGGCTCCCTCTCAGCTCTGATTTCTCCTCTCTTCCTTGGTACTGAATCTTCATGGAGTACCTGCTGCTGCTGCTGCTGCAAGTAATCACTCTTCTATCAACCCTGCCCTGCTAAGACCCACAATTCTACTTCTGCCCTGAAACAACAGAGAACTGAACCTACTCTATCTAGTAGAGGACAGACTTTCATTATCTGGATACACATTGCCAGTTTCCTTAACCATTTTTCGGGTGACACCATCCACAGGCCTTGTACCAGTCTGGCTGCTCTATTTCCAGGACTGTTTCCTAAAGCAGGAGATATTAGGCAGGGTGGTTTAATCTAATGAGAAAACTTGAGTGTTGCCAGCACCTTGATCCTGCCAAACTGTGCCCTTGATCAGGACCATTCCAGATTTGTTCAGTAACAGTGGGGTGGCATACATGCCAAATAAAATAGAAGAAACAGAGAGAATGTCAGAGTTCGCCTTCTCAATACTTAGCTTTACATATGTGTGACTGGATATCTTCCAACAAATCCTTTCCTAAATTCCTACTGGTTATGAATCAAACCATTTCTCTCATAAGAGAATAAAGGCAACTGCCTCTGGCCCAGCAAGTAAAACAATGTCCTTTTCTTACCCTACAAAATGACTCATCTATCTTTCTCTTTTTGAACAGGGAAGGCAGAGTCCAAGAAAGTTCCAGACACAGGAGGAAGCCCAAACATGAGCAACCCCATGCTCCTCCAAGGCACACCGAGGAATAATATGATTTAGCTCACAACCATTCAATGTACCGAGGCGTCAAGGACCAGTAGGTCAACTCTTTCCATCTCAGCAAATGAAAAAGGCATTGATCCCAACATTATTCAACTCTGTGAAAGGGTTTTGGGGCTCACTCAGGAAGGCACTGACATTATTATTGTGGGATGACGGATCACCCTGGCCTGTCACATCACAATCAAAAAGCGTAAGTCACTGAAAGGCCAAATGTCTTGTAATGCCCTAAGCAGCCTGTCAAGGGAGACTTATTGCAGTGCACAGAGGGAGCAATGAGATGGAAGCCTGTGCAGAGCCGCATAATACACTTCAATAATGGGAGGGGCACAGGGAGCCACCAGTGGCACGGATCAGCTAAGAGGCTCCAGAAATCTCTCAATTTGCTTTAGAAATAGGTCTGTTCTTTTATGTTTGCTCCTGAAAATCATAAATAAAACACACTTCCCAGGATGGGTAGGGATATAACTAATAATCTTAACGATTTGGCCATCTAGAAAAAAGTCTGGATAAAGGGCAGTGAATTAGGAACTTAAGAGATGTGGCTGAGTGTATTAGGAAACAATCTCAATAGCCACAGAGAAATTCCACAAGAAACATAAAGCACTGTGCAAGAAAGCAAACAATCAAATGATAATTAAATACTTTTAATTATATAAGCACTGAATATTGATTTAACCAAATACTGTGCCTTAATTATATTGAGTGTATGTGAGAACAAGTATGTAAAAGGAAATGCATAAAAAATCTAATCTGTCAAAATAGGAAATCAAAGAGAATATCCAAAACTTGGTAAATCTAAACAACAGTTAAATAAGCATAATGTTTACAAGTTCAAGATATTTGTCCCTGAAGGATGTGACCTTTTGTCCATTGTAAATATTATAATGTAGTTTGACATATTTTACTATATTACTTTAATAAAAGTTTTTTTAATTGCTTAATAATAAATAAATATAAAATATGAAATCTCCAAGGGACTGGAAGGAAACATACATCTAATTTACATAATAATGAGGTTTTTTGTTGTTGTTTAGTTGCTAAGTCCTGTCTGACTCTTTTGAAACCGCATGGACTACAGCTGCCAGGTTCCTCTGTCCATGGGATTTCCCAGGCAAGAATCATGGGGTGGGTTGCTATTTTCTTCTCCAGGGGATCTTCCCCACCCAGGGATCAAACCCACATCTCCTACTTGGCAGGTGAATTCTTTCCCACTGAGCCACCTGGGAAGCCACTTTACCACAGGTTCAGTGGTAAAGAATTCGCCTGCCAATGCAGGAGACACAGGTTCCAACCCTGGGTTGGGAAGATCCTCTGGAGGAGGAAACAGCAACCCACTCCAGTATTCTTGGCTGGAGAATTCCATGGACAGAGGAGATTGGTGGGCTACAATTCACAGTGTTACTAAGAATCACACACAACTGAGCATGCACAAACACACCTGGGAAGCCCAAAAATGAGGTTAGTGACTTACCAAGCAGGACATCAAGAGCATAAGTCAAAAAATAAGAGACTGGTAGATGTGATCACATAACAATGACTGCTCTTGAGTATCAAACCAAAAAGAAAAAAAAAACCTCTAAATTAAAAGATAGATAAGAAACTGGAGAAAATATATGCAATATAGATAATATACAAAAGATTAATATATTTACATATTTAAAGAGCTCTTATTAACAAGGAATAGAAGCATTACAATAGAAAAACTGGCAAAGGGCATAGACAAGGAAGGAAGGCAAGAAGCAGGAAGGAAGGAAGTCAATATCCTGTTTAAAAAATAAGACCAATTTCTCTAATTAAAGAAATATACAGAGAAGGACCTGAAAGATGATCACAAATCAAAGAAGTAACAACGGTGGGTTCTAGACTAGTAGGTTCATGGATGTTCTTGTGTCTTCTTTTACCTTTTGCTTATCTCTACTTGCTGGTTTTCTAGTATCTTAAATTCATAATTAAAGATTTATTTACTGTAGGTAAATTTTCTGGAATATATTAAAGTATATTAAAAAATAAATAAAAATCACCCAGTATTCATCACCCTGAGCTAAACACTGCTAGCACATTTCTTTTCCATTTTTGATTTTTATATTTTTACAACAAAATTGAATCCATGTATTTCTCACTTAACATTAAGTGATCAGCATTTTCTTATTACATTAAAAATAGTTCTAAAATATAATATTCACTTCTTGATATTCCATTAAACAGAAGGATATATGACCAGATTCTAACTTGCAACAAATCACTACTAAGAGGTACAAAGTTTTCATAACATTCATTTCAAGTGAGATTAATTTAAACTTTTTCATATAGGCTTGTGAGAAATGCAACCACCATGAATGATTTAAAACCAAAACGGGGACACTGGACCAATAAAAAGAATCAAAAGAAAATTAACCCTCCTCTGTTTAGTTATAATGAATAGCCAGCCTTTTTTTTTTTTTTTATTAGTTGGAGGCTAATTACTTCACAATATTGTAGTGGTTTTTGTCATACATTGACATGAATCAGCCATGGATATACATGTATTCCCCATCCCAATCCCCCCAACCATCTCCCTCTCCACCCGATCCCTCTGGGTCTTCCCAGTGCACCAGGTCCGAGCACTTGTCTCATGCATCCCACCTGGGCTGGTGATCTGTTTCACCCTAGATAATATACATGTTTCAATGCTGTTCTCAGCCAGCCTTTTTTAAAAGTAGAATCGCATTTATCTTCATGATTTTAATGTCTAAAAACTATTTGTGGTCTAAAAACTATATAAACTTTCTATATTTGTTTATCATATAAGAAATATTTGCCTATAAGAGGGGGGAAAAAAAGCAAATAATATAGAACAATGTAAAAGTTTTTCAAGTTCAACTTACCCTCATCCCAAGAAACACAGTTAATAGATTTTTGTAGGTCTTACATTTTCAGGCATATGCAAACTTCCTATCCTTTAACTACCTACTCCTCCCCAACAAAACACACACAAACGGCATGGTGCTTCACAACTTGCTTTTTCACACTTAATGCATTTCAGAGATTTTTCTGTACCACCACACACAAATACGTTTCATGCTTTCAAATGATGGCACAGTATTCTATTGCATAGATGTAGCATTTTAAAAGTCAGTTTCATTTAGCTTTTATATGGAAGATTTGCTATAAAAAGTAAAACAAAAATTTACTCTAAATTGATCACAGGCCTAAAAGAAAAACTCAAAACTATAAACTTTCTATAAAATATGTGTGATCGTGGACTAGACAAACACGTCTTAGATACAACATCAGAAGTATGATTCATAAAAGAAAATACTGATAAATTGGAATGCATCAAAGTTTAAAACTTCCACTCTTCAAACAACACTACTGAAAAGGAAAACAAAAGTAAGATTTTGGAAGAAAATATTTGCAAAACACATAGCTGCAAAGGACTTACATCCTGAATATATAAAGAAGTATCAAGACTCAATAATAAGAAAGATTTGAGCAGACACATCACAAAAGATGTATAGATAGCAAGCTAGCACAAGAAGACGGTCAACATCATTAAGCCATGGGAAAAATTCAAATTAAAACCATAATGAGATACTGCTACACATTCAAATGGTGAAAATTACTTTTTTAAGAAACTAACAATACCAAGTGCTGACAAAGTTGAAGCAACTGGAACTTTCATATATTGCCGATGAGAATACAAAATGGGATAGCAGTGTTGCAGAACCGCTTGCCACTTTCTTAGTGTTAAACATACACTTACCTTACGACTCCACAATCTCACACTTGGATATTCACCCAAGAAATAAACATTTATAATCACACAAAAATCTGCACATAAAGGTTTATAGCAACTCCATTAATAACTGCCCCAAACTAGGAACAATCCAAATGTCCCTCAACTAGACAATGAATAAGCAACTGTGGTACATCCATACAATGAAACATTGCTCAGCAGTAAAAGGAAACAAACTACTGATACAAAACTTAGGCAAATCTCAACTATATAATGCTAAATTGAAAGAGGCCAGATTCAAAAGTCTTCACAGCATTTGTTTCCAATTATATGACTCTAGAATAGAGAAAACTATAGGGACAGAAAATGGATGACTGTTAACAGGGCTGGGGGTAGGGAAGGGTTAACTACATAAACCCATATAAGAGGGTTGCTGGGAGAATGACACAAGTGTTTTGCATTTTGACTGTGATGGTAATTACATAAACACAAGCTGTATGCCTTTGTCAAAGCTCACAGAACTGCAATATTAAAAGGGTATATTTTACGGTATATAAAGAATACCTCAATTTTAAGTTAACCTCTTTGTACAAATTTTTGTTTAGTTATGTTTATATGTCCAAAATATAAAATTGAATTGCTAAGTCAAAAAAACAAAAAATTGCAATGCAACCCAGAAATCCCACTCCTGGGCATATACCCAGACAAAATTATAATTCAAAAGGACACATGCACCCCTATGCTCATAGCAGTATTATTTACAACAGCCAAGACATGGAAACAACGTAAATCTGTTCATCAACAGATGAATGGATAAAGAAGAGGCAGTGAAAAAATGAAGTCGTTCAGTCTTTGTGACCCCATGGACTCTAGCCTACCAGGCTTCTCCATCAATGGGATTTTCCAGGCAAGAGTACTGGAGTGGGTTACCGTTTCCTTCTCCAGGGGATATTCCCGACCCAGGGATTGAACCCAGGGCTCCTGCACTGCAGGCAGATGCTTACCCTCTGAGCCACCAGGTAAGCCCAAAGATGTGGTACATATATACAATTATTTAGCCATTAAATACATTATTCAGCCATTAAAAAGAATGAAATAGCACCATTTGCAGCAACACTGATAGACCTAGAGATTATCATACTAAGCAAAGTCAGTCAGAAAGAGAAAGACAAATACCATATCACTTATATGAGGAATATAGTACAACAAATATGAACATACACAAAACAGAAACAGACTCACAGATACAGAGAACAGACTTGTGGTTGCCAAGGGGAAGGGGAAAGAGGAGAGGGAAGGAATGGGAGTTTGGGAATAGCAGAGGCAACCTATTAAAAACAGGATGAATAAACAACAATGTCCTACTGTATAGCCAGGGAACTATATTCAGTATCCTGTGACAAACCATAATGGAAAAGAATATGAAAAAGAATATACATATACATATGTATGTATAACTGAGTCACTGCTATACAGAAGAAATTAACATTGTAAATCAACTACACTCCAATAAATTTTTTTAAATTGTTGAGTCAAAGAACACTTGCATTTCAAATTTTGGTAAACTACCAAATTGTCCTACAACAAAACTGTACCAGACTACATTACTATCAACAGGGTATGCTGAGACGAAGGCGTCTGTTTCTCCATCAGAGCCAATCTGATTATGTCAAAGCTTTTCATCTTTGTCAATCTGGTACGCGTCAAAAAGTATCTATGAGTTACATTTATTTAATTACCAGAGAAGTTATCTCTAGTCAAATGTTTACTGCCCACTTTTTTTTTTTTCTCCTGTAAAATACCTATCCGCATCCTTTGTCACTTATAGGCTATTTTAAATGGCTGGTAATTAATTTGTAACACAAGTTCTAGATCTTATGGGCCAGGACAGTGGGAGTCCTTGGTACTAGGTCTTACGGTCAGGAACGTTTGCTGCAGTGTCCAGGAAATCCTGGCACAGCCTTCGAGGAGACGGAAGCCTCTCCGAGGTCAGACCCGCGGCTCCCTCCCAGGACTCCGGGCCGGCCCCCCGCTGACACCCTCCCGCCCATCCCCAGCCCAGCAGCCAGAAGGGACTCCGCTCCACTCTTTCATTGGCTTCTAGTCCGACGACAGAGCTCCGCTGCTAATCTGTGCGGTCCCTCACCTTCTGGGCGAACACTAGTGTCCAGTCGTCAGAGCATTGACACAGCGTCACCCACTGTCCCCCGAAAGGGAGGGGTCTTTTCCCGCCACCGCAGTTCAAGTGGAAGAAGCGGCGGGTCCCAAGCCCTCTTGCCTCTCAGAACGCCGTTCCCTTGGCAACCAGAAGCGGACGCTTCCAGTCTCGCGATAGGAGAAAAGGACAGTACCATCTAGAAACGAAACTTGGGAGGCCAAGAACGACTGGGACCCAACCTGACGAAACTCTGAGACCTGGGGAATCTCTGCTGTCTCTGTTTTCTGGACGGAAGGTGGAGGGTGTGGAATGGTTTGTTTGTATTTAGGTTGAACTCGGAACGAGGATGTATGGATGCTTGTATGCCTCTGTCCTCACTATTCATATGATGCGCTACAGGTCAGCTCATCCTCTCCGAGATCAGTTTACCTCTCCGTAAAATGGGGTGTTAATAATTGTTTCCTCACAGCGTTGTTGTGCCACTCAAACACATAATGTTCTGTGAAGTTCTTAGTAAATGTTAGATGGCATGTAAATAAAAAATAGTAGTTTTGCCCAGATTGGACTACAATCCAAAGACGGTAATAAGTGCTATTTGCACTTTCTTTTGTGGTTCTATAATTCTCAGCGCATGAAGACTATTTCCCAGGGTCCTCAAATTGACTTTTCTTCATCCTCAGTGCCATCAAATGTCGTCTGCTTCTTCCAATATAAGCAACATTTTACAGTTTACAAGGCATTTTCAATACACGGACCTTTTAGCCTCATTGTTAGGTGGTGAGGTATGTATTCTGTAAGTATTTTTCAGAAGATCAAATAGATAAAAAGTGATGTGTGCAGAACTAGGGCAGGGGAGGGTGTAAAAACCTGACTGTAAATGTCATCCATATACTTCTAAATTCTGCATTTCTATCTCCAGTTCTGAAATCCACACGCTTATCCACAGTTACATCGATATAAGAAGGACCTCAAACTTAAGATGTCAAAAAACTGAACTTCTCCACAGTCCCTCCTCCATCTTGCCTTCTTACCTATCTTAGCTAATCAATAGTAACTGCATCCTGCCAATCTCAGGCCCTTGGGGCCTGAGATAATAATTGCTTCCTCAAGGTCCTCCTTGTTAGTGTTTCTACTCAAGAATTTCTTCCCAGCATTTCTCAGAAACTTTGTATGTTTTTCCAAATTAAAAGAAAGTCAGTTGAGAAATCAGGAAAATTGGACAGAGTTCTAATTCTCCTACAAGAGTTAAACCTTAGGAATCAACATAGAGATCCAGTGATGTCAAGATAAATCAAAAGCAAGGGCAGGAAACACTGTGAGTCAGAAGCTGGGATAAACATTCCAGGAACCAGGACAGGAGCACCTGGGAAAGAGGCGATCACAATTTAACTGGTCAGTTTTGCTTGCAAGTTAGTGTGATAAGTGTGTGTTTCTGCACAGTCTTCTAATAATCATTCTTGCAAGTAAAATAAATGTTAATAAGTTGATACTTATTGTATACTTTACACAAACTCTATGAGTGATAGTCCAAGGAACAAGTTGTTATTCAAAATAAGTTCTTAAATGGGCAATTTCCAACCCATTGAATCACTGTTAGCCTTGCTTGGAGATTTGTGTGTTACATTATTCAAATAGTACCCACCTAATAATGTTCTCTCTGTACTCCAATATTTGAATATTTGCTACAGGCTACATCTCTTATAAATATTTTTAGTAGTTCTTATTTTTTAAACAAGTGCTTCAGATAGCATGATAATAAGTAAAGAATATGAAAAAGGTTGGAAGTATTCTAAGAATAACTTAAAATTTGGAGAGCTCCTAGAAGTTCTGATTTCTTGTTCCTGCATGCCAAAGATTAGTATCTGTTGGGAATTTGGAAATGCTACTCCTACTCCTTGTTCTTCTTCCAGTATGAATAAACACACATACAGACACACCCACACACTCACACACATTGCCTGAAACACAGTTCCCCAACCTTCCATATGATTTGTTTCTTCTGTTCCTTCAGGTATCAGCTTCCTCAGGTGGGTTTTTCCTGACCACCCTATATTAAATAATAATTCTCATTTCTGTCCCCCCTAAGCTGTTCTGTTTGACGGGGAGCTAAGTGGTGTTCAGCTCTTTGTGACTTTGTGACCATGGACTGTGACCCGCCAGATACTCTCCATGGGATTTCCCTGGCAAGAATACTGGAGTCGGTTGCTACTTCCTTTTCCAGGGGATCTTCCTGACCCAGGGATACATCCTGGGTCTCCTGCTTAGCAGGCGGATTCTTTACCTCTGAGCCACCATGGAAGCCCTACTCTGTTCCCTTGACACTCTTTTATTTTTATATAAGGAGGAAATATGCCACTGTTTGGATTCTGATACTAAATGGGCTTCCCTGGTGGCTCAGCTGGTAAAGAATCTGCCTGCAATGCAGGAGACCTGGGTTGAGATCCCTGGGTTGGAAGATCCCCTGGAGGAGGGCATGGCAACTCACTCCAGTATTCTTGCCTAGAGAAACCCCATGGGCAGTCTGTGGGGTCACGAAGAGTCAGACACAACTGAGCGACTAAGCACAGCAAGCACACAGCACAGCACTAAATAGCTGGGTGACCTTGGGTAATTCCATACATTTTTATGGGCTATAATTTCCTCATTCTGTGCTAATTCTGTCAGGTGGAACCCAAGACTCCAGTAGACTCCCAGGTGATGCCAATGCTTCTGGTCCACAGATCACTCTGAGTAGCTACAGACTAATCCCCAAATGCCCACACAATGCTGGTATTTCATGAATAAAGGCTATTCTTTCCATTTTTATTTTTGGTGACCAATGGTGCTTGTTAAGAAAACAACACATTTCAGATTTCTTGGGCATGTGAGGGGAAAAAACAACTAAGAAAAATCAGGGTTGTGTCCAGTGCTCATGATTAACTATTTTCATTTTTTTAAAACTGTTGCTTACACAGCATAAAATACATATAAAGCAAGTGACTAGAAAGTTCAAGTTCAATAGAAATGTAGTGTCCATTTACTGTTTGTAACCTTTCAAACTAAGTCCCCACTGATTATATTTTGCATAAAACTCACCTCATCTTGAATTGCTTTCTGTCATTCTCATTTAGTTTACTTACCTTCTGCTGCTTCCCTTTTATAGGTTGTTGAGAGACAGTATGTGCCTTGAGGGCAAACTTTTAATAAATTGTATTTGCTATGTATTAGGACACAATAAATTGTCTTTGTTTTTAATTTCCTGAAATAGCTTCTATGCCAACTATTGCAATTACACCCTCAAAACAATTCACATTCAGATATGTTAGAGCACCATATTTTTCTCTGCTGTGTTCATACCCCACCCCCAAAATATTCTAGAATTATGCCTTTCAAAATAATTCATAAAGATTTCATCTAGATTCAAGATATTTTAAGCTAAAATTTCCCTGGTCTCATTCNCATATTTTTCTCTGCTGTGTTCATACCCCACCCCCAAAATATTCTAGAATTATGCCTTTCAAAATAATTCATAAAGATTTCATCTAGATTCAAGATATTTTAAGCTAAAATTTCCCTGGTCTCATTCCAGGTTGGTGACATATGGCAGTGTTGGTTTCAAAGCTGGTTTTTGTTTTTGTTTTCAATCTCTCTCTGCTCCTGACATTCTCCCTCTGAGTGGAGTCAGATTTGAATGAATGAATGAGCCCACATTGTATTCCATCTGGGCTCCAACTATCATTCCAGCCTTGTTGTCCCGATTTCCTTTTTCTCACCATGAGCTTCAGCCAAATATAACACGATACTAGGAGAGAAACCTCGCTAAGACTTGTATCATAGATTCTACAAACTAGATTTAACAGTCATTTCTTTCGAAGGGCAATTAAAAATGTGTGCTAACGGACAGTCCCCATGGTGTGTGAATCTATGGCTTAGTTATTTAAAAGTAACATTTACCGAGTGTTTAGGACAAGCCTCAGATATGTCATTCCATGTCACTTCATAACACCTACGCAACAGCACTGTTATAACCCAGGCTGGTACTTGAGAAGCAAAGCACGGCAGTTAAGTGATTTTGCCAAGTTCATTTGGTAGCTAAATGGTACTTGGATTCCAACCCAGTTCCAAAGCCTGTTTGTTCTCTTCACCTTCTCACTGGACTGAATTCAAGAAGAAAGTTTACTTGCATCCACTAGATGGTGCTGATTGCCTTCCTTTAAAAACAAAACTCCAAATCTGCTTTCAGAAACTCACTTTCCTTGGATTTCAGGTGTGATCCAAGAGGCTACTGAACTAAAATATTCTGTTTGCTTGAACTGTGCTTGGGTACATCTTTAAGTGGGGCTTCTCAGGTGACTCAGTGGTAAAGAACCTACCTTCAATGCAGGAGACATGGGTTCCATCTCTGGGTTGGAAAGATCCCCTGCAGAAGGAAATGGCAACCCACTCCAGTATTCTTGCCTGGGAAATTCCACAGACAGAGGAGACTGGTGGGCTATATATAGTCCATGGGGTCGCAGAGTCTGACATGACTTAGCGACTGAGCATGCACATCTATAATAGCCATCCAAATAAGAGTGATTTAGATCCCCAAAAAATCAGAGCAGATTTTTTTTTTAAGTACATATTATAAATACATGTATGTGCTCAGTTGTGTCCACTCTTTGCAACCCCATGGATTGGAGCCTGATGAGAGCCTTAATGGATTTCCCAGACAAGAATACTGGAGCAGGCTGCAATTTCTGCCTCCAAGGGATCTTCCCCACCCAATGATGGAACCAGCATTTCCTGCATCTCCTGCATCTCCCGCATTGAAGGCGGATTCTTTACTGCTGAGTTACCTGGGAAGCTCTCCGTATCATAAAATTGTTATTGTTCAGTCACCAAGTCATGTCCCACTCTTCGGGACCCCATGGACTGCAGCATGCCACGCTCTTATTATTTGATACCTAATATCAAATAACCATTGGTAATTTTGAGAGACTAAAGTTCTCACCTATTTGTATTCCTATAAAACCTGCAGACTTTCTAAAAAAAAGTCTATGTTTTATTTCATATACACTTTTACCGAAAGTGCACTCTCTCCTGTTCCTCCTGGTCCTGCTTGGCCACAACACCACCCATGTAATCAAGAGGCAAGACCAGGGGAGTCAATCAAGGCTTAAACAGCAAAAAGGAAGTTCTGGAACAAGTAATCCTATTTTTATTCACAGTAAAAATGCATTTAGTGTGTGTTTAGTTCTTTCTTAAGTACTTAAAAGCTATGAAATAAATCTGCTAAAAATGGGTTCTCAGATTTTCTTGTTCATACGGGTCACTTCAGGTGTTATTTAAAATGTTGATTTTTGCCATTTACAGCAACATGGATGGAACTAGAGAGTGTCATACTGAGTGAAGTAAGTCAGACAGAGAAGGAAAAATATCATATGTAATCCCTTATATGTGAAATCTAAAAAGAAATGATACTAATGAACTTACTTACAAAATAGAAAGAGACTCACAGAAAATGAACTTTGGAAACTACCTGCTCATGTATTCCAGTCTGAATTTCCACAGTATTCATACCAGTATTTAAAAAAAAAAAATGTTCAACAACCAGAGAAGCAAGAATTGCCTGTTTAGAAACATCTGGGCAGTGGTAACAGCCACCGGTCTTGTCCTCTGTGATGTACAAAGAATTAAATAAAGCAAAACCACAATCAGCGTGCACTATTTTTACAGCACAATGCAGTAGATGAATTGAAAAATGGTTTAGGTTTTATGAGATTTGGGTTTACATCTCCCTCTATTGTTGATTCTAGAAAGACTAGCCTCTTCACTTTTCCAGGCTCCAGTTTACAACCATCTATTAAATAATGGGAAGGCAATTTCTGAATACTTTTCCTTACTTTGTAGAAATAGAGAAATTAAAATGTTCTTGAGATTCTGTATTGAATGTTTTCTTGCAGCTGTTAATAAAATGAGTACTTTTGCTTCAAATAAAGGCAAGCTTCTAATCTAGGCGGAAGAATGAAAAAAGTTGAATTATCAGGTTCAATTCATACCTGTCATCCATTAAATGCTCACTTATCTTGTATGTTTTGGCACAGATAATTTGGTATTTTTGTGGAAACTGCAAAATATTTTTTGTTATGTATCTAGAGATCATTACCTTGGCCCAAATTTATGGGAATTTTGTATTCCGGTGGCACACCTGCATTCCTGTATTCATTTGTCTACCTTTATGTTGGTCACTTACCCTGAGTCAAATCCTCTAGCAAGCTATTTCTGAGCAAGTAAGCTTTTCAGCCTTTCTCCAGTCATACCTAGTTGCTTGGAGAGCCTATCAGAGGCAGATACTAGATGTTCATATTAATCCCCTCCAACTCCTCACCACCACTCATTTTAGACGGCAAGCATCAGAAGTAAAGGGGATTTCTGAGTGCCAATATGTAGTAGTTACCTATCTATTCTTGATAAGAGCAGGAAGAAAATGGAAGGCATTAGTTAGAGAAATATTTCATCTTCTCAGTGTCACTGAAAAGACATTTTAAAGCACTGGTTTTCCCTCCACACATCTTGCTGATGGATTAGGCATTTTTTAAACTCACAAGTTCTAGTCCACAGCCTTGAAAAAAATCTCTTAATCTCCTGGGCATCCATTTCTTCATATTAAATTACAGAGGTGGTATATAACTAGGCTAAGATCTTCCAAATTCTAAGTGCTATGAATATATGAAGTAAATGGGCATTTTATGGAGGAAGAAATTTCCTGGATTTAAAGAAAAATTTGCCATCCATGAAAACAAGATCCCTGGGGAAGATGCACACTCTCAGTGAAGGATAATTTTCATTTTCCTCAGCACTTTTGTCAGCATTTGATCATTTACTGCTCTCTGTCTCTTGTGGGGGTTTTTTCTCCCTTAAACTGTCCAGAGGGCAGGGACCATGTCTTGAACACACATTCCATTACAATAATGTGTGTTAAATGCAATAATTCTTAACTGTTATGAATGAAAGAATCTTGTTAACATTTTGTATGCCTGCATGGGAGAGTATGGTTGAGCATTGGGTGAGAGTGATGTGAAGGCAATGACTCTCAAATTAAACTAAGGGTAGAGACTAAGGGTAGACTCAGAGCTTCCCTGATAGCTCAGTTGGTAAAGAATCTGCCTGCAATGCAGAAGACCCCTGTTCAATGCCTGGGTTGGGAAGAGTCCCTAGAGAAGGGAACAGCTACCCACTCCAGTATTCTGGCCTGGAGAATTCCATGTATAGTCCATGGGGGTCTCAAAGAGTCAGACACGACTGAGTGACTTTCACTTTCACTTCTTTCAGACTCAGAATTAACAAGGGGGACCTGAGGCAGAAGGTGACGACTCTGAGTACTCTCAGCTGAGTGATTTTGGGCATTCCGGTAAGTTTCTTAACATTTAGTTGAACTGAATGACTCTATCACGAAACAGGAAATCATGAAGCAGAAGAAACTTGGGAAATAACATTGAGAAAAACAGCTGTCAGGCATTAAGACTTTTAATACAGTCTCCAGCATAGTTTAATAATATGTGCCAAGTGGGTAATCAGAAAATAGTCATAATAATGAGAGATGATAACGATCATCCGTGCTTTGGAGGAGCTGGTTCTTAATACCTTCTGTACTGTTTTTAGCTCTGTCTCTAATTTGCTTCATCTCTTAGGGCCATCTGTGCGTCTAGTTTTCCCATCTGCAAAATAGAGATCATATCATTTCCTACAGAAGTCTGTGGACTGTGCTTTAATATCCTACTGTGAATCATATATAAATACAAAGCAGGCAAAGAGAAGCCAAACGCTACCACAGGAATAAACTTTGAGGCAGAGAGAATTATAAATTAAAATTAAGTAAGATCTTCTAATATTTTAATGATCTGAAGTAGTTATTGCAAAGGAATTTATATTACCTTCACTTTAGCTTTTTAAAGTACATGGTTAATGATAAATAAATACAATTCTAGAATAGTTTCATCTATTATATTCTATATTTTATACATATTTATCTATAATATGATGGGGATTATAAATTAATTTCTGAGGCAAACTAGCATTATTCTGAAGCAAACTTACTCTTAAAAAGCAGTAATTCTTAAAAGTGCTTTAAGAAATACATCCTTCAACTATACTCCAGTAAAAACTAAAACCTAGGGAAAGTGAAAGTGAAGCTTAGTCGTGTCCAGCTCTTTGCAATCCTATGGACCGTAGCCCTCCAGGCTCCTCTGTCCATGGGATTTTCCCTGCAAGAATACTGGAGTGGGTTGCCATTTCCTACTCCAGGGGATCTTCCCAACCCAGGGATCAAACCGGTGTCTCCTGCATTGCAGGCTGATTCTTTACTGTCTGAGCCACCAGGGGGGCCCCTAAAAGCCAGGGAGCTCTTCTCAATACTCTGTAATGATTCATACAGGAAAAGAATCTTAGAAAGAGTGGATATATGTATAAGTAATTCTCTTGATGTACAGCAGAACCTAACACAACATTGTAAATCAACTATACTCCAACAAAAACTGTTTTGAAAAAGAAATATTTCTTCTTTGTTATTAAGAAGATATGGGGGGGAAATATAATTCAGAACAGCCTACAATTGCCTAGCTCATACAGCCAAACCAGGGGAATTATCTGAGTAAATTGACATCATTTGACATATCAGCAAAAAGCTATCAGTCACTCTTAACCTGAAAGCTTATATCTGCTTATTTTCTCAATTCTCCTTAAGGATACATATGATTTCTTGTTTCTTTGTTTTGTTCAGTCTGATGGTGCATTGCAAAATTCAGAAGCTTTTTAAATAGACTTTTTTGGTCTCACTTTTTATTTCTTCTTATTTATTTTTTTCTTTTAGGTCTCACTTTTTAAAGTTAATTTGTATTTTTATATTTACACATGGATTAGTCTTAAATATAGCAAGAAGTCTCCTCTAATCATGATCTCCCCTGGAGATGGCATAGAGTAGACATTGTGAAGAAGGAAGGAAATGAATGAAGGCATCTGTTCCAACTTATGATGTGTTCACGTAAATGCACTTTTTTTTTTTTTATGTTTTGAACCAGTTTTCTTTATTAGCAAAACTTCTTTCCCAGATATGTTTCTTTATGATCTTCTTTTTTTCCATTTATTTTTATTAGTTGGAGGCTAATTACTTTACAATATTGTAGTGGTTTTTGCCATACATTGACATGAATCAGCCATGGATTTACATGTATTCCCCATCCCGATACCCACTCCCACATCCCTCTCCACCCAATCCCTCTGGGTTTTCCCTGTGCACCAGGCCCGAGCACTTGTCTCATGCATCGAACCTGGGCTGGTGATCTGTTTCACCCTTGATAATATACATGTTTCGATGCTGTTCTCTCGAAACATCCCACCCTCACCTTCTCCCACAGAGTCCAAAAGTCTGTTCTGTACGTCTATGTCTCTTTTTCTGTTTTGCATATAGGGTTATCGTTACCATCTTTCTAAATTCCATATATATGTGTTAGTATACTGTAATGGTCTTTATCTTTCTGGCTTACTTCGCTCTGTATAATGGGCTCCAGTTTCATCCATCTCATTAGAACTGATTCAAATGAATTCTTTTTAATGGCTGAGTAATATTCCATGGTGTATATGTACCACAGCTTCCTTATCCATTCGTCTGCTGATGGACATCTAGATTGCTTCCATGTCCTGGCTATTATAAACAGTGCTGCGATGAACATTGGGGTGCACGTGTCTCTTTTAGATCTGGTTCCCTCGGTGCGTATGCCCAGAAGTGGGATTGCTGGGTCATATGGCAGTTCTATTCCAGTTTTTTAAGAAATCTCCACACTGTTCTCCATAGCGGCTGTACTAGTTTGCATTCCCACCAACAGTGTAAGAGGGTTCCATTTTCTCCACACCCTCTCCAGCAGTAAATGCACTCTTATATGTTCAAACAGTCTTCACAAGGACAGAAGGTATTAGTCTTTCTCAAAGTCAACTTCCAGTTAACCACTGAAAAACTTGAACAAAGTTTTAGGTACATTTTCTTTTTCAATGCAATTCCAATTTTCTCATTTCTCTAGACCTGTAGTCATTATTTCATCTATATTTAAAATCAGGTAAAGTCCTAGTATTATCTTTCAAAAGTTGGGTTTGAGAAGAAAATTATCCCTTGTATCATTTGCCTTTTAAATGATCATGCACTTAGATTAAATGTTTCTCATAGAGAAACAGCCCAGAGGCAGAAGGTTGGAGTCTAATTCTTCATGGACTTTAGGGTAGTAGTATACAAATAAAACCTGTTTACACCAAATTTCTTCCATAAAATCCACAAGGAAGAAAATGCAAACAAGAATGAGAATTTTGTTAGAGGGAAGTCAAAATAAACTAGAAATGATTTTTATAACCATGTATTTCTGTGTCAAATAATATACTACAGAAGCATAAAAACCTCAGAGTTGAAAAGAAACTTAAAACCTCATTCTCCCTTCAGGGTTTAAATACAAATTTAAATTGTATTTAATTGCTTCAGTCCCCCACCCCCACCCCCAAAGTGTGAGAAAATATATAGTTTTCTTTAGTATTTTGCTACAGCTTACTTTTCCTCTTGAGACCCTGGGATAATAGAACCTGCAAGCAAGGTTTCCTTCCCTCTCACATGACACAGTGGGTGCTGTGGAGCACGCGAGTGGAGACGCCCTCTGTCCTCTGCGCCATTGCCTACGTGGTCATTCCTTGCCCCAGTTGATGCAGCAGTCCATCCCTTCCATCCCTCTGCACCTTTGGGCTTCCAGCTTTCTCTTTCAGACTTGTACGTAAATACCTGAGTGAAGCCCTGGCTCCTGGACTCACTACCAAACTCTCCACAGGGATGCAGGACCTAGAGAGCAAGGCACACACAGGTCCCCTTGCAATTGTGCAAATCTTTCTTTGTTTCACTATATTCTTGGGGCGTTGTCCAGGAGGCAGCAAAAGGACCCCTTTATCTAGAAGGTACAGATGTCTGTATCTTATCACTTACCCCTGACTTCTCTTCTCTACTATCCTCAATTCCAGGGAAGTTTTTTTTCTACTGAGGGGAGATGGTTTTCCCTCCTCAAACTGTCTCAAACCTTTGACTAACCCAAGCTTTCCCGATGTTTGGCTCATTCAAGGCTTCTCAGTGTTTGGCTAACCTAAAGTTCCTCAATCACAGTGTCACTGATATTTTGGACCAGATGAGTCTTTGCAGTGGTGGGCTGTCCTGTGCATAACAGGGTGTTTAGCAGCATCCCTGGCCTTTACTCACTAGATGCCAGGAGCACCCACCGACTTTTGAAAATCACGACCAAGTATCCACTAGGCTAATCCCAAGAGTTCCCTCTGCCTTTCTAAGCCCTTGGTTTTGATATACAAGAACTGGAAAGGGGCTTACAGGCTATTTGCTTTCCTTTGAGGTAATGAATGCCTTCACCCCACCTTCCCTGAGGCAATACATGTGAAGGAGCTGAGCAAGGTAAGGAGGGAAGAGGAATTAGATGCACTGCTGTGATATTGTTAATATTTCAAGTGTTATCCCATCTGTGATGCTCTTTCTCACCTGTTGCCTTAAAAGGTACACCACTGGTCATTCTAGCACCTCCTTTGTGTGGATATTACCTTCCTTCTGTATGTGGGCTGCAGTGAATACACATATAGAAAGAAATTAAAAGGGAGCAAAAAGGGATTTAACCACTAAGTTCTGATCAATACAGAGGACAAAAGGATTACTGTTTATGCCCAACACACGTGCCTAGAGCTGTATTTCTCAATATTGAACTTCCTTCCAAATTTAGAATTTACACTCACTTTAGTGAATATACAGAGAGGCTTAGGTGTTGAAGAGACAGGTAGATCAAAAACCTTGCATTCAATGCCTTTAACCCTTGTATGAGTCAGTTCAAGGAAATTGATGAGAACCAGCAATAACTCTGACAGAAAATCTTACTTCAGTTCATTGCCCAGAGAGATTTAGCTACTTCTCCAAGTGCTGTATCTCTTATTTATTCATTTATTATATCATTCACTCATTTAAGTTTGGAATTAAGTGGCTCCTACAAACCCAGGAGATAATTAGCCATTACAGATTCATATAACACCATGCTGGAGATGACAGTTTGAGTTCTATGAAGGTCGCTAGGCCTTTATTCTGCCTATTAACTAACTTATTGCCCTGATATAAATGGGGATAAACACTGGTTAAGCCAGAAGCTTACAGGGAAGATATTTCAGCTTCTAAAACCTCATGCAGGCTACAGTTCAGGGGGCTGCAAAGAGTCAGACATGGTTGAGTGACTATGCACAACTGCCTCAAAGTTATCATCACTATGAATACAAATAATTGTTGGGGTAACTGGTGAAAACATCAGTTTAGTATTATTTTCTGAGTAACACTGCAAAAAAACCTCAACCACTGTTTTTAATGTAGCAGGTAAGCACTAATATTGATACAGTTTTACTCTGTTTCAGGCTCTGTGTTGAACAGACCATGTCATTTAATCCTCATGACTACCCCATGAGGTATACTATTGGATTCCCCTGAAAACAGAGCTTGAGATAAGGGCTTTGTGTGGTTGGTTTTGGGGAGGTAATCCTGGAGGGCATGAATGAGGATAGAGAAAGCCCCACAGAGCAGGAAGAGGAGTCAATAAAAGGCTGCATTAATCAGACACCTGGTGGACAATAGGGACTCAAGCTGCTTGACCTCCTGAGAAGTAGAAAGATGCCTCCCACAGTTGTCCAGCAGAAAGACAGGAAGCAGGGGCATTTATCCACTGATGCCCATGCCCCACTGGTCAAGCGCTAACCCCCAGAGCTAGGGAGCTCTCCCAGGGCAGAAAGGAGAAAAGCAAGGCCTTGATGGCTCTCAGGGAGATAAATGGATGCAGCCAACAATGGCCCACAGTAGACATGGCTAAAATTAGAGGTGAAATATGTGAGTCAGGGCAACAGCAGCTTCTGACACAGTTATTATCTCCCCATTTTACAGAGGGGAAACCAAGATACATGGAGATTACCTCACCTGCTCAAGATAACAATGTGGGTCAATGGTAGAGTCAGGATTCAAACACTGACCATCAGACTTCAAGGCCATGGTCCCAACCATAAGGGGTAATGACAGCTGCACTATACTCTTCCCAGTGTAGTTCCACCTACAGGTTTAGGTAGTCCACCCACCAAATCTATTTGGAAACCAGGTTGGGGCCATTTATTCAAACACTGCACTTTCTTTTTGGTAATTCATTTTTCAAGTTGCAATAACATAAGAAAATGCTACTGGAATGCTGTATCTACATTTTGGGAAGAAAATAAATACCTTTCACTTGAGATCATGCAAGAAGAGAGAGGTTCAGATAGTATACCACTTGTAAGGGGGGAAAAAAATCACTCATACAACGTTTTTTGAGTTTAGAAACTGTTTTTTGATTTTTTTTTATTAAAACATAATTCTTCAAAGAGTATAGAAATACACCTGGCCATGATCTGTTAGATGTCAACCAACCGCTTCAAACATACACAAGAAATATCTACCAAATTCTGGCTCACCAGAACTTATTAAGTTGTACATATACATTATTAGAACATCAACGTGGCTACATTTGACAGATTCTTCTAAAGTGGACACAATTTTCTGACAGATTATGTTCCTTCGTGATGAAAGCTGTGACAGCTGTGAATGTCTGAAAGGTAAACTTGAAGGGCCACAGGGTGAAGCATACAGAGGGCACGCAGGGCCCTGAGAGAGGGGGTGGCAGGCAGGCCCCTGTTTCTGCTGTGAGCACACAATGTACAGACAAGACAAACACGAAAAGGAAGGCACTCCCTCCTGGGGAGAAGGGTCTTTGGGTTCATAGTCGGGAATCACAAGACAGCACACCCAGGAAAGGACAGGAAAAAGAAATTCCCTGCACACAGTCTGACCTTCCTCCAAGGGACAAGGGCCAGTGTGGTTCAAGGAGATCTGTGAGGACCGCTGCCTTTGGGATGTGCTGCTTGCCACTGAGTATGCCCCCTCCCTTCAAGCTTGCTCAAGGCACGGGATTGGCTCCCTTAGGTACAATAAACAAGAACAAAACACCCATCAGAAAAGAGCAGAGCTGGTGCTTGATTTGCCCTCATTAAGAGTGAAGTGTCATCTGTACTTTGAATTCAGCCTGGTGAAACCCACCTCAAAGTGGTCTCGAATCACTTGTGAGAGCCTCCAGGTGACTGATCAGTTGAGGACATTGTCCTCCCTCTCCTATCCTGTCTGGCTCCTGCTATAACTTCATTGGGAAACAGGAAGCCAAGAGCTTACCTGGGCTAGGTGTTGCCTTGGCATTTTACAATGATGAATTCCTTCTCTGTTTTGTTCCTCCTTTATGCCCAAAATGAAGGGAGTCATACAAAGAGACTGAAAATGAAACTGGCAACACCTGGGGTCTGGAGTCTTCCTTGGAAGAGAACCAACCTTTTCCCACTCTTTTGGGCAGAATCACCTCTCCTAATCAAGTATTTTTAGCTTGACATTTCCAGAGGCCCCCATGTATACTAACTTTGCCTTTTTAAATCATTTTTAATTCCAGAAGTTGGCACAAGATCATCATTTTCAATATCCTTTACCCCTGCTGATTGCTGCATAGAATCTTTCTCACGAGATCATCTGGGAAGATTAAAGACTACAGACTGTGGGTATTTCTCAGTCTTTCTTCTCCACTTCTTTCACATTTTAAAATCAATCTAATAGGCATTTTCTTTATGGCCACATGGCTCCATAATTACCTTGGGCTTCTCTTAGAGTACCTGCTCCCTTTGGCACTCCATAGACACTCTCCTCTATGTGTACTCTCTGCAGGGCCCCAGAACTGAGATATCCTCAGAAAATGCACACAAAGTTCCCTCCCAAGACCCGTTCCCCACTACCCAGCTTTTGTCTCCAGTGTGAGGAACATGGACTTTACTAAGGACTTGGATCACTGAGATAAACATATATATATATATAGATATACACATCCTCAATAAAGAGGACATTCAATTTTATATATAGATTTCCCTCTCATTCATAAGCACTTGGCCCACAGAGGAGGAGTCAACCCATGCTGAGTTGCAATGAGATCATACAAATCACCGGCCCAGTGAAAGAAGAGCAGGAATGTGGAAAGGCCTGTGGCTTCCAAGGATTCACAAGCCTTGCTAGGAATCCACCTTTGGGAAGATGCTCACTTTATTGTTTCTGCTCATCTTGCGCTCCACCCTGCCTACCTTGGGTATCTTTGTCTGGATCAGCTCTTCTGGGGTGTTACCCAAGGGAGGAAGCAGCCTCTTCTTGCTGTTTCGGGTCTCTGAGAGCCACTGGGGAGGCAACTCAAAAGGCCCAAAGCCAAACTGCAGGGAATACTTGTCGGGAAATGTCTCAGATTCCACAGACACTGCTGGTGCTACCTGGGAGATAGAGTCCACGGTGCCTGGGGGTGGTGCGGGAGTTGCAAACTGTGGTCCCAGCTCTGCCTCCAGGCAGGTGGGAAGTAGCTCCTTGGCCTGGAGAGCCCCTGAACCTGGGTACTTGGCTTCGCTCTCTTCCTCGTCTTCTGTGGGCTTGAAGATCTGCTGCTGCCCGATGTGGAACATCTCCAGGAGTTGGCTGCCCGAGCGCATGCTGGGCTCCAGGCTAGCATCAGCCATCCCACTCCCTGTGCCCACCACGTTTCGGCGGCTGTAGCGGTGGTGCAGTTGGACCAAGGTCCCCACCAAGCACTTGCGGACAGATTTGTTCACAGTAAGAAAAAGCACAGGGTTCGCCAGCAGAGAGACTTTGGGCAGCCAGATGGCCGTGAGCAGCAAGAAGACGGACGTGTCGGGGACGTTGAGCACTGTCTGGTAGACGACCAGCGTGGCATAGGGCACGCTGCAGAAGATAAAGACCATCACCATGGACAGCAGCGTGGCATGCAGCTCAGCCTCCCGCTGGGAAGCGTAGGGGATAGAGATCGTGTTCTGTGGGGTCCGCAGTGCTGCTATGATAACCTTCTTCTTCTGGCTGGCGCTCAGGGCCCGGCGTATCAGTATTAAGAAGAAGAACGCGACAGCCACAGGCACGATGACTGTGGTGATGTTGTAGACCAGAACATACACCAGGTGGCCCAGAGAGTGGCTCCAGACTTCCGTGCAGGTTGACATGGCGTAGATGTCGGCCACGTTGGTCACTGCAAACCCAGGGACACTGGCCACCACTGCATGGGCCCAGATGTATATCACTAGTTCTCGGGACTTGGCATCAGATATTTTTCTCTCCAGCGGATAGAGGACTGAGTAGTACCTGCCAAAGGCACAAGCAAAATTCACTTCACAGAAGAAGATACACTTTAACTTANGACTGAGTAGTACCTGCCAAAGGCACAAGCAAAATTCACTTCACAGAAGAAGATACACTTTAACTTAGGGGAATTCACATTACTAAAAGTAGGAGAGAGGAAAGAAAGGGTCGAGTTCTTTCATTCTGCCTCATACAGAGGAGATCACTAGGAGAATTTGGAAGCTAGACCTTAAGTTTTGAGGACTTTGCCATACAATTCATTGTGAGCTTTATAATTATTGCCCCCAGCACTAAATCCCAAAGAGTGCCCTCGATATAAAGGATATCTCCATTGGCTGGGAAAACACTCTTTTTCAATTTAAGGGTAAAGGGTAATTTGTAAAAAAATTTTACATGGGCTAGAGGAGCGTAAGGGCAATTTTCAAAACCATGAAGAGAGAGAAATTTGCACACAAATCCAAAGCAAACTCATGCTGCAGTATATATACATGGGAATCATTAACATTTACAGCTGCTGGAGCAGAAGAACCCAGTGTGAGGGATAGACTCTGACAAAGTCTTTCAAAATCAATTCCACTGAAAAAATCGTGTGGGCTCAGGAGCCATTTTCCATGATAATCGCTCAGGACCCCTAAGAGCAATCAGTAGGTCTGAAATACCCGCACAGTTATATCTTTGTTAAAATCAGAGATTTTTTTTCCCTTCAAGCTTGACTTGATTATTCTATAACCACCTAATCAGAATTCCCAAAGCACCTTGTTTCAATATCACCTATGATTTGGGGAAACTGAGTAATTTGTTAAACCCCTGGAACCACATCTGTCTTGAATGGGCAGTCAGGAGCCCTCAGAGATACAGCAAGTTTCTTCACCCTTAGCTCACCCCATGGCTGCGCAGTCAGCTAACGCTGGAGTTGACCTTCCAACCCTACTAACATGTTCCCTCATGGGGCCACCTGAGCATGTGTGATTTCCTGTCACAAGGATTTCTAAGTACCACCCATGTGCTACATATTGTGCCAGGCACTGGGCTGCAAAGATGAAAGGATACACAAGAATGTTTATAAACTACATGCGGAAAAAATGGCATGTAAGCAAACAATTATAACTGAGGAGAAGATGACTCTGCTGGAGGCATGCACAGAGGACGTAGGGGAAAGGGAGCACCTGGGAAAATGTCAAGAGAAAGTGGTGCTGTGGTGGAGTCTGTCAGGGGACAGGCTGGGGGAGAGACGATGCAAACACACGTGACCATGGATGACCAGAGATGGATGGAGCACGGTAAAATGTATTCTAGATCGCTTTCTGGGAGGGGAAAAAAGAGAAAGAAATGTATAAGTTATGTACACTCTCAATTTTTTCTCTCTGAATATAGACAAACTTTTCTAATCATCATTTAACAAACCCAATGTGATGGACCCACACCCACACATGAATACATATCCACTATCTCTGATTCCCATTTGCTAAAAGACATGTAACGAACCCCAGTTTCCCATAATTTCTGATTCCATTATATGTTGGGAAATAGACGCAACACGAGTGCACAGGTTCACTATACATCATTTTGTTGGAGTATACGTGTCTAGGGAATGATGCAGAAGTGCACGTGGCCTCCCAATTAACTTGCTGACTGGGTGCCATGAAACAAATATCTGAGAAAGAAGTGAGAGAAAGGACTATTCTCCTTTTGTCTTCAAGTACACCGCATGCTTTTGAGTAATCACTAAATAATGAAATAGGGATATACCAACCTTGTTTTTCTACTAAAAGAACTTGCTTACCTTTTTTAAAAAAATAGGAATTTGATATTAACAGATGTGCTAAGCCATTTCAGTCATGTCTAATTCTTTGCAACGCTATGGACTATAGCCTGCCAGGATCCTCTGTCCATGGGATTCTCCAGGCAAGAATACTAGAGTTGGTAGCCATTTCGGGAGATCTTCCTGCCCCAGGGATCAAACCCAAGTCTCTTATGTCCCCTGCATTTGCAGGCAGGTTCTTTATTACTAACACCACCTGGGAAGCCCATTAATAGATGCACAATACTATATATAAAATAAACAACACAAATAAAGACCTACTATATAGCACAGGGAACTATATTCAATATCTTGTAATAACCTATAATGGAAAAGAATCTGGCAAGATTTTATATATATATATATATATGTATGTATGTATTATGTATATATATATATATAAGTGTATGTATGTGTATATATATATATATATAACTGAATCACTTTGTTATTCACCTGAAACATTGTAAATCAACTATACTTCAATAAAAAAATAAAGTAAAAGATACACTGGAAAAAACTTTAAAATGATGGCAAAAATATAGTAGATTTTCTGCTGGAAAGATAATACGGATTTCTTATTATTTATGTATTTTCTTGCCTAAAACCAGAGGCTCAAAAATAACCCACAGGGATTATTGCACTGTTCTAGGTGGAATAGCAATCTGTCCTGAATGACGTGTTTCCACTCTTGTTGCATCCTATTCTTAAAAAAATTCAGGATTCATAGCAGCATTATTCATTCACAACATTCAAAATGTAGTGACAACCCAAATGTCCCTTAACTAGTAAACAGATAAATAAACTGTGGTATATGCATCCAATGGAAAATTATTCAGCAATAAAAAGGAATGAAGTAAGTTGCTAGAAGAGTAGGTCAGGGGGCTTCCCTCATTGCTCAGTAGTAAAAATCTGCCTGCCAATGCAGAAGGCATGGGTTCAGTCCCTGATCCGGAAAGACCCCACATGCCGTGGAGCAACTAAGCTTGTGTGCCACAACTATTGAGCCTATGCTCTAGAGACCAGGCACTGCAACAAGAGAAGCCACAGCCGTGAGAAGCCCACACACTGCATCTGGAGAGTAGCCTCTGCTCTCTGCAGCCGGAGAAGAGCCTGCACAGCAGTGAAGACCCAACACAGCCAAGAGTAAACAAAATTATTTTCAAAAGATAAAAGAGTAGATTGTAACAGTTCTCATCATAAGTAAAATGATATGCTTCTATATGAGATGATGGATGTTATCTCATTTTTTTAGAATTTTTTTTATGTGGACCATTTTTAAAGTCTTTATTGAATTTGTTACAGTATCGCCTCTGTTTTATGTTTTGACTTTTTGGCCATGAGGCATGTGGGATCTTAGCTCCCTGATTAGGGATCAGAACCCACACCCCCTGCATTGGAAGGTNCTTCATTGCTTTAAATGGCTGAGTAATATTCCATTGTATACATGTACCATGATGTGGACCATTTTTAAAAAGTGCCTCTGTTTTATGTTTTGACTTTTTGGCCATGAGGCATGTGGGATCTTAGCTCCCTGATTAGGGATCAGAACCCACACCCCCTGCATTGGAAGGTGAAGTCTTAGCCACTTGACTGCCAGAGAAGTCTCTGGCTAAATTTCTAGTGAGTCCTTTCACAATACGTGTAAGAAAATCCATTATGCCTTAAATTTATACAATGCTGTAGTAAAGGACCTGTTGAGTGATGACCCCCATGTAAAAGAAGGCAGACACAACTCCAAACTGGTCCATGTCACTTGGTTTTGTCACCTGCCTCGTCTGCTCCTGTGGATGGTCAGTTTCTAAGGAGAAACTGTCAAAGAGCTGCAGTGGCTGTAAAAGGATGGCAGGCAATTTATCTGAGAAAGAATGTGCCAAACAGAAGAGAAGTCTAGAGAAAAAAAAAAAAAATATATATATATATATATATTGGTGCAGCCTATCTAAACACAGGCCACAAATAGTTCATTTAGTTCTTTTTACCCCTGAGGAAACTGAGGCTCAGAGAGGTTTGCCCAAAGCCACCAGCAAGGAAACAGCACAGGTGGGACTTAAAGTCAGACTTCTGGCTCCAAGATCCCTCTTTTAAGTACAAAGTGCATGGTTTCTCCTAGTATGCAGAAGGCTTTGTATGACTTTGTGTCCTGTCATGCAGCTGACACTGGGCAGCTAATGAAATCTGGGTTCCAAGTCAGATAGGGTGAAGTGACTCCACAGATGGATTTTGTAGTCTATGCCCTCAATAGGTCATTAAGGTTTAAGCATGTTTTAAATAGACAAAGAGTTAAAATTCTAACACCTAAAACGGTTAAATTTATCACAGGACATAAAGTCAGAAGAATCAGCACATCTCACATCAGCAACTTCTCCTTTTTGTAAATCTTGAAATCAAAAATTCTTGTGGACACAAAATATTTTTCAATTCTTGTGTGCTTATTTAATTTTGTTCTCTAAAATGTATTATTATCTCAGCTGTATCCCTTAAGTGCTAGCACAACAACAACAAAAAAGGCAGGAAGTTGTTGATTACTGAGATCTTTACACTTCACTGTGATAAATTTGATCAAATTATGTATAATAGCAATAGCTAGGATGTAAGATGTAAGATTTATTTCAAATGGACATCCATTAAAAAGTTATGGGAAGAGAAAGCAATCACCATCACAGTATAAAACCTTGGAAATAAATCCTACAAAGGAATTTCTGGTGCTATCTGGCCAGGTCCAACTGGACTGTCTAATCACTTGTTAAATAACTACTGAATTGTCTGTTCTCTTGTGCTTCCAGAAATGTTTTCATCCATCATCAAAAGGCCCTAATTGCAGAGTTAGCAATCTGATGAGCAATCTACTGCAATTGCAAAGCAAATATGGCCAATTCCAACCAGACTGAAATTATATCATGCCCCAGCTCTGCCCCGGCATCCTCATGATGTAGCCTCCTCAACACCACATCTTTTCTCAACAGCCCAATTTTCCAGGGCTGCTGGCTTTTGTGAGGCATCTGTTTCAGCAGTTGATTCTCTTTCTCTTGACCACAAGCAATATTTGGAACATCAGCTATTCACTATTTGCTTCACAGTGGTAATTTTTCAGTACACTTAAAAAATGTTATGCCCCTGGCTACTTAATCTTACCTGTCCAAAGCAATGGCAGGGAAGCTAAGGATAGTCACAGAGCAGAAGACTTTGTGCAAAAACTTGACGACCTTGCAGAAGAGCATGGTGTAGATCCACCAGCAACAGTGAGGACTGGTGCTGAGGATGATGTCGAAGGGCACGCAGACCAGGCTGGCACAAATCCCCGAGCAGGCCAGGTTTTTAATGAACCTGTTGGTGACAGATTTGAACACGGTTGTGCGGCAAGTCGACCATAACACCATGAAGTTTCCTGGCCAGATAGGCAAAAATAAAAACAAAAGAATTTTTAGATAAAAAGAAAGAAGACAGAAAGGAAAGAAGGAAAATACAGGTTAAAAAAAAAGATTGAAAAACCACACTTGAGAGTTCATTTCAAAGAACTTAAAGGTGATATTATATTATCAACTGATGTGAAATTATTAAATCACTTTCATACATATCAAAAAGTCTAGAAGAATTTTTATTGGTGAGTTTTTTAATTTAATTTCGGGCATAATAAATATTATCATGATGATCCTGTCACACCTGAGTATAAACAATTGGCTAGGGATTACTAAATCTCAGCCAGTCTAAAGCTTGCAAATGACCTCCAGTTATCAAACTCTGCCACAGAAACAGGACAAAAGATACACATGTGGCTTACAATTTTCTATTAGCCATATTTTTTTTTAGCCATATTTTTTAAAACTAAAAAGAAGCAGGTGAAATGTTAATAGTGTATTTTATTGACCCCAATCTATGCTAAACAATATCATTTCAACATATCATTACTACTTTAAAAAGTACTAATGAAATATTTCCATTCTTATTTTTTTACCACAAATTTGGCATGCATTTTTAACACTGAAATATAATTAATACATAGCATTATATTCATTTTAGGTGTGCGTGGTGCACATTTTATTTTACACTTACAACATATTTTCATTTCAGATTCGTCACATTTCAAGTGCTCCAGAGCCACATACAGCTGGTGGCCACTGAAGAGGCCTGCACTCGTCTAGATCTTTAGCATCTATAACACACTTGCCTGTCTCTCTCTCCTGTGGCTTCCGCAGGCCCACAGTCTCCTGGTGTTTCTCCCACCCTCCCACCTCTCCCAGGTCCTGGAGGCTCCCAGTCTTCTTTACCAGGCCCTTTCCCATCTTCTCTCTGCAGCCTCTTCCTAGGTTGAACTATCCATTGAGATGTCTTGCTTTTGAAACACTAATGACCCTCACATTCACACCCCAGACTAGGCCTCTCCTCCCAACTCCAGACTCCTGTTTGCCACTAAATGTTGGATTCTCCCTTCCCTCTCAGTCTGTTCTGCCTATCCATTGTCCTCCAGAGCCTACACAATCCAGGACCAACCTGCCTAATCTCACACCATGCTGCCCCTGGCTTGCTGGGCATAGTCACGCTGCTCTTTTTTTCTGTTCTTGAAACACATCGAGGCTGATTCAGTCTCAGTGCCTGTGTATAAGCTTTTATACTGCCTAGCAAGGTTCTTGTATGTCTGATTGATTCCTTTTAATCCAGGTCTTAGTATAATTGCTGCCTCCTCAGAGAGGCCTTCTCTAACCATATTTTTATTTTAAACATTTACTGTTCCTTCCCTCACTATACTCTGTTATAATACTGTGGCCTTCTTAGCTTTCATAATTATTCATTTGTTTATTCATTTTCCCTTCATTTCATGAAGACAAAAAAAAATGTCAATCTTGTTCACCATTATAACTCCACTGCCTAGTTCAGTATCTAGCACAGAATAGGCATTCAACAAATATTTAGATGAATGAATTTGTAAAAGGACAAATAACAACTAAAAGTCCCTGCAATAAATAAAATTACCCTTTTGTATTTGGAATATCACAAGAGGCAGTAGTTCTCAAACCTTACTATGCATAAGGATTACTATATCAGACATCCTGACTCACAGTTACAGGTATAGAATTGGAAACTTGCATTTGTAACAAGCTGGCCCCAGACTGGAGTTTCAGAACTAACTGCCATGTCTAGACAGAGACTATAGCCCTTATCCCCAGGGTCTCACAGGGCCCAAGTGCTCAGGTATACCAGGCAGCCTATTCTACTAGGGAGGCTTTCACCTGGTTAGAGACCCAGGTCCACGTGGCCAATCAGTCATGACCCAAGAATACTGCTGCCTCTTGAGTACAGGCACAGAGAATGCCCTCTAATGAACTGAGCTGGCAGCTCAGCCTCACACAGAAGGAGAGCCATGGTACCAGGGGAGGGGACAGCAGAATTCGGGGCTGCAGCCAAAGTCACCCCAGGAGCTGCCTCAGTGCCTCAGATGTTGACATGACTTTCTGTCAAGAGTCTCTTTTCAAACACAATATTCTACAGCTACTTCTTATTTGCCAGGAAAAAAAAAGGGGGCATTGTGTTTAGGTAAGTAGGCCAGCTGCTTCCAGGAAATTTTCTAACAAACTTTGCTTACATAAGTATGCTGCCTCAGTGAGATGAAATTTGCAGTGGGAATGTATACACACGTGTTCAATAGAAAAGCTGTTTATACTAATACCACTACCTCAGGCCCCTCAAGCTCTCCTGTCACCAAGGTTATAAGCTGAGCAATAATGATGTATTTGAAGCTCCATCTATATTGGGGTTTTTTTTCCTGGACTTTTTCCACTGAAACGCAGAATAGGATCTTGCTGAAGCATCTTTCCTCACTTAAGTTTTACAGACAGGATTTAAAATCTGGTAACCATCTAATAACAAAACTGCCCACTTAAAGAAATCTACCATGAAGAGATTGTCATAATATCATCAGTTGTTAATACTGAGGCTGTCTCCAGTCCACCAGGGGACTTTCTATAAGACATAAATGAACACCCTTAGCATTCTCTTTTTCTCTATCACTATTAATCTTTGTCACCTCGTAGGTTACGCTGGAAAGCCTTTTCATAGGAAAAGGTCAGTTTTCATTCCAATCCCAAAGAAAGGCAATGCCAAAAAATATTCAAACTACTGCACAATTGCACTCATCTCACATGCTAGCAAAGTAACGCTCAAAATTCTCCAAGTGAGGCTTAAACAGTACGTGAACCAAGAACTTCCAGATGTTCAAGGTGGATTTAGAAAAGGCAAAGGAACCAGAGGTCAAATTGCCAACACCCATTGGATCATAGAAAAAGCCAGAGAGTTCCAGAAAAACATCTACTTCTGCTTTATTAACTACACCAAAGCCTTTGACTATGTGGATCACAACAAACTATGGAAAATTCTTAAAGAGATGGGACTAGCAGACCACCTTACCTGCCTCCTGAGAAATCTGTATGCAGGTCAAGAAGCAACTGTTAGAACGGGAGATGGAACTATGGACTGGTTCCAAATTGGGAAAGGAATACATCAAGGCTGTATATTGTCACCCTGCTTATTTAACTTATATGCAGAATACATCATGCGAAATGCTGGGCTGGCTGAAGCACAGGGTGAAATCAAGATTGCTGGCAGAAATACCAATAACCTCAGATACACAGATGACACCATCCTTATGGCAGAAAGCGTAGAACTAAACAGCCTCTTGATGAAAGTGAAAGAGGAGACTAAAAAAATTGGCTTAAAACTCAACATTCAGAAAACTAACATCATGGCATCTGGTCCCATCACTTCATGGCCAGTAGATGGAGAAACAATGGAAACAGTGAGAGACTTCATTTTCTTGGGCTCCAAAATCACTGCAGATGGTGACTACAGCCATGAAATTATAAGACACTTGTTCCTTGGAAGAAAAGCTATGACCAACCTAGACAACATATTAAAAAGCAGAAACATTACTTTGCTAACAAACCTCTGTCTAGTCAAAGCTATGGTTTTTCCAGTAGTCATGTATGGATGTGAGAGCTGGGCCATAAGGAAAGCTGAAAGCCAAAGAATTGATGCTTTTGAACTGTGTTGTTGAAGAAGACTCTTGAGAGTCCCTTGGGCTGCAAGGAGATCCAACCAGTCCTTCCTAAAGAAGATTAGTCCTGGGTGTTCATTGGAAGGACTGATGTTAAAGCTGAAACTCCAATACTTTGGCCACCTGATGCAAAGAATTGACTCTTTGAAAAAGCCCCTGATGCTAGGAAAGATTGAAGGCAGGAGGAGAAGGGGACAACAGGTGATGAGATGGTTGGATGGCATCACTGACTCAATGGACATGAGTTTGAGCAAGCTCTGGGAATTGGTGATGGACAGGGAAGCCTAGCATACTGCAGTCTATGGGGTCTCAAAGAGTCGGACATGACTGAGTGACTGAACTGAACTGAACTGAGGCTACGCTGAATAAAATATTCTATGTAACAAACAAGAAAATTCATTACAAAGGAGAGGAGAGGGTGTGTGCCAGTGTCTCGCATGTACACAGTAAATTGTTTTGCAACTTAACTGAAACTAATCTCAGATATCATTTCCTTCATATTCTAACTCTCATCTTTCTCTCTCCCAATTATGAAGGGCATACTTTTTATTGCTTTTTTAAATCACACATCTTATTAGTATGTCTACACTTATGAATGAGAAAACTTGTTTTCATCGAGTTACTATTGAAAAACCTGAAATGGCTGTAGTCACATTTTATCTTCACTTATTTACAAAACTCTAGGTGGCATCTGAAACCTAACCCCTTTTCCTATTAAGAACTACAGCTAAGCCTCTTTGTTCTGTTCCTTCTCTAAACTACTTCTCTCTCTCCTCACTTAAAACTGATGCATTTGGCTCTAAGAACCTGAATTAGAAGAAAGTATCAGGTGAGGGGCACCCATACTCAAGTTTGATCGGTCACATGTTTTATAAAAAAGTGTGTGTGTGTACACGTGAGTACACACACACACGTACATGCACACAAATACATACACAACAACAAAGCATGAAAATTACATATTTGGTCATTTAATCTCATGAGCACTTTAGATTCTTAGCTTTACAAGGTACACCAAGGGATAATTCAGTATATATTTTAAACAGAGTATTCAACCTTGAGATACTTTTTATTTTAGACATCTTGTGTTTTAAATCACCCAATCCCTTTTAGAGATGATTCAAGTTTCTGTATCCATTCTTTCTCCCTACACATTCACATTATATTTCCTAATGCCAGAGTCCTTGACAACATTCAGTGCCAGGGTTGTGGGCACAGTACCAGTTAGTACACACTCATAACACACACAACCGAAAGGGAAATGAGAGGTAGAACATGATGGCATTGGTTCAAATCTACTCTCCCTGGGACTGCTATTACTCTATCATTCCTCCTCAGCT